GGCTTAGATTCCCGTCCCGACTTTATTCGAGGTCTCATTCAAAGATGGACGCCTCGGGTCACTGGCTTAAGCTCATCAGGCTAACCAAGCCATGCAAATGCGACAATAAATCTCTAAGATTAGACGACAAAGAAATTTCTAGAGTCAGAGTGCGGGCCACTGCTGGTGTAATTGAGGAATGTTGATTGCAGAGCCTCGAGTTATTTCTTTGAACCGAGATGTACGCCATACTTTATTTAAGTCTATACAAACTTGCCTTCTTCTGAAAGAACGTTTTTGTTTATTAAGCACTAAATGACTAGTACGAATGGCTAGTGCCAAACATACCCTTGGCTTCAGTTAACCAGGAGTCGAGGGTTAGTTTGTTGTGAGAGAAGTTACGTATACGAAGGATTAAACTCAATCGCAGCGGCAGCTCACAGTCTTACATTTCACAAGCTGACAGCTAGTTGACCATTCTATTCCAGCCGTATGGTTGCATATCCTTGAAAATCATATACTCTACAACGCATAAGTTTCTCAGAATAACCCACATATTTTTTCTAATTCTTATGCAGTGAATGGCATATTGTTTACACTTTTTATTTAATTTTCTTCATTAATAAAGTGAACAATCTCGGCTGTTGAACCAACTTACGACTCGCTTTAGCAGAAGCATTAGGAAAACCCTCAGACTCATAAAATAAACTTGCATTTCTATACTGAATAAACAATTAATTCAAATTTGAAAACAAGTTTAGCTTAAAAAGTGAACTTTTTGAGTCAAAGGGTTTGTCCAACATTCTAACATTATTAATGATGATGCTCAAACACGGTGAATGGCAATGGATATTCCATCGCCAATTGTACATTTTGGTACAAGTATTGCAATGAAAGATGGTAAATCATCGAAATAATACAATAGTGAACAGTGGACACTTTAAAACCAACGTCAGTTATTATTAAAAAATATATATTTTCCCCTATGGCTAACAATTTGTCAAAAGAATGTAATCGCGCAAAAAATATCACGCTGACTCAGAATTTAGTAATGAATTCATCTGGAGAACGAATTCTATCATCAGTTCCATGAGCACGAATATCTACAATTCAACCGCCGAGGATTCATTTGTACTAAGATAATAAAAAATAACTTCGTTTCTATACACAGTTTAAATTAAAAGTTATTAAGCGTGCTTTTAGATCGATGATGGAGCTGGTTATATTAATCAAGGAAACCAAATTTTTTATACGTGTATATTTAATTACTCATACATTTTTTATATAAAAATAACCTAAGCTTGAACCATAACTCTGCTCATATAGCCAGGAAACCGTAAAAGAAGCGAAAATGTATGTATGTATCAGTTCCTCTTACTTTGTTATTAACTATGTAATTAAATAATGACATCGATACTTCGTTGAGTGTTAGGGAAATATATTCGATATATTTTATATTATCTTAATGTTTGATACATGCAGAAATACTCCAGTACATATCTAATATTTCATAAAGCCGTCAAAGCTTTGTAGTGCGTTTTGAAATACATTAAATGAAAAATTTTTATGTTATACGTTTCTCTGTTGTTCAATAATAGCAGGGCAGACCATCAGTATTTTAATGCACATGATATGAGCGTTTAATAAATAGCAAAATAAGCGACGAGTCAATGGAATGTGGCCGCTCGCCTCGGAGGTGTCATGCCTATCATACCGATATCATTAATTCCATTTACTTAATTAGAACATCACAGCTATAATGAGTTCATACCACGCAACTCGTTTACCGTTATGTAGGTCATGTTTATAGGCATACAACAAACTTATTAAAGATACTTTGTTTTCCTTATGCGTTTGAAACAGACCTCCTTCGAAATTATTAATAAAACTGAGCTAAGATTGGTTTAATGAGTACACTGATGAAATTTGTATACATCTATTCAGTTAATTTAAATCAATTTTGTATTATTTGTATAACGAACTGCATTACTTGTACTGTTTTAAGTCTTGATGAATGATATATTCCACGCTACGTAAACAGACCTACCATAACTTGAAATACACGAGTTTTCTTTGCATTTACACAAGTCTTTTTTGTATCAACGAAACAGACGTTCTATGAGTGTTGAAGTGAAGTTTTTTCAAGTTTTTTTTTTGCGTTGTTAGAGTTTTGGCGCCGACGTTTGTTTAGTTCTTGGGACATTTAATGCAGTTAAGAAGAGCTTTTCTCTCTTTATAACTCATTTTAATATCCTAAGTTTTCTATTGCTTGCCCTCAACCCGTACACACAAAGACTCGTTGCATGTAACGATTTAAAATACAAAAATTCCGAGCCTCACCATCTTCGGACATTCCGCTCGAGGTCTGAAAGCTAATTTGCAATAGCAATAACATGAGGACAAAGCCCCAACTTATAATAAATTTTGCAATTACAGATATACAATAAAATGACGATTTCCATCTCAATACGCGTATAAGTGCGGACCCCGTAATGTTAACTAAATTTTGGAAACAATAGCGTTGTTGGAAACGATAACTTTTGTGTGCTAAATTCAAGTGAAATTCATAATATTTTTGGTGATTATTAGCCGTTGTCTGTTCAGGTGGCACAAACGCACATGTTACCAAAATTTGTATGCAGGTTTGATCGAACGCTGGTAAATATTATTATTACAATATTATTATTCTACGAAGCATTTATCGTGGCGTCTCGTTCAAAGGAACTTTGAGGGCACGTAACACATAAGATTACTAGCAAGCGAAAAATAAATAGACACAATAAAGGATAGGAACGAATAAAATTACTCAACGTAATTATTCCGTAGTATCGACATTTTCTTCCAGGCAAACAGAAATCTAGTAACGCTGCGTCCCAAGCGTCGTCCTTGTCTGCTCGTTTGCACAAGGCCAACCACTTTATTTTTCCTTGTCGTCTTAGAAGCGAGACCTGACACCGAAGATGTGCTGCTGCATTCCAACTGGCCTTTCACTTGGCCATATTGAAGGCCTACCATCAGTAATTGATTACCTTATCAAGCCAACACACTAAATAAATTGTTCACATCGAGCCATTAACATCGCGAAAGCGCTATAAGCGCAAAAAATGAATTTATTAGAATCAATACTACGTTTAAGGAAAAATCTCTAATGCGGATATATCTTCAAGAGAATATTATTAAGGTTGCATCACCACACTATAGTATTATTAATTTATTATGCAGGGGGATTCACGGTAACTTCCTCATTTGAAAACTCGTTGAAAAAGAACTAATAAAAATATAATTACAATATAAATCTTATTGAAAAAGACGTTACCTGAAATTTAGTCTCAGTTTCAAACATGACGTCGGACAAATGCCAGCCCCCATTTTTAATGCATTCATTTAATTTATTTTTAATGTTCCGTTCACGGGATATGTACGACCACAAGTCCGACTTATAATGCGCTTATCACGTTGATTTCTTGCATCCACAGACCATATAACTTCACCCGTTGATTTTCAGGCATCCACTGGCCATTGGTTTCATCAATCAAGTTCATCTCAATAAACGTGTCAATATAGCACTATACGTACTCGAGGCTTCCTTACTATTTATTACTAAATGCTTTCGTCATATTTAATCTCATCATCAAGTGACTATTTCGGCAAAAAATTCCACACAAATCTACGTATTGGTGGTTCAGAGAGCCCAGCCGACCTCGACATTTTAGGTAAAATATAGCAGAGCTCGACGATACAGAAATATATTTTTCGAGTCCATGAAACAAACATAAGAAAAAAACATTTACAAATATCCATCAACAATTCACTAGAACGAATAACAAAAATGATCACAGTGCACCAAACGCTTGTCTACTCGTCTCCATAAAACTATCATTCGCTCAGTTCAAGAATTTATATTGCGAGTTTACCGAGCTGTCTTCGCACGACACACACAATAAAAAAAACAGCACAGCTTATATTTGCTGAAGAGAATAAAATTTCCATTCAAGTGTATGGTAGTGCTAATTTACAGTTCAATGTACGACTCCAATATAAAGCTGTTCAATAACAAAACTTCCTAAAATTAGTGTTGTTCAGTTGTGCAAAAACTGACAATCCAACTGAAAACTTTACCTGGCTTCAATTTCATTTCATCGTTTGTAGCGAGTAAAATCAGATTATTTGTGGCAAAAATTAAAATGGCCTAAAATTTCGGCATGTATTTGGTTTATCAGATTTAAAAACATTCCAGCATGAAGTCCGTTAACTGGCGATTCAGTAAACAATCTTATTTCAATTTCCTCTTTTCCATCGCAAAATTACAATTAGGCAAATCCTACGAAAAAGTTACTACTGTTACATCATCCATCTCACAAAAAAAGCAAGAACACCATAATAGTAATTCAATTATTATTATTAATATCATCAAAACTATTATCCTCATTGAACACTTAAAATGCTTGCGAGGAAAAAAGTTGTGTGCATGGATCCTCCACGATGACGAGTGTGCTAGCAGAACCAAGAGCTCCTATCAGGAAAAGAAGCTTATTCTGAAGTACCCATTATTCTGTGTTGGTCAGGTTACAGTATATTCGGGATTAATAGATCTGTTTTATTATGTCTTATGTCAATTCTCATTGACCTTAAAACGAAAGTTTTCACCACCGTGCTCTATGTGGCCCCGAATTACCATTTTGGTTATGCATTGGACAACGCAGCGAGAAAAAATTTTTGATCGATCTCGATACATTATATGAAGGGCAATCTTATTTGCGCAGTAAAATTAAGGGTAAAGATGTATGACTCTGGATTTTTTAGTGTTATTCAAGTTCAACGGGTTTCTTCAACTCACTATATTTAACACCGTAATTGCTTTAACTTTAAAAAAGCCTAGTTGTGCTGGAAGTAATTCATTCAAAAAAAAAATACGATCTGGAAATTATTTCTGCCCCTTGAAATGAATTTTGTTGATTGAAATTAGCCTACTCTCAATGATGTAACCTAGCTCACCTGCCGCGAAAGCATATTGAATGTGGAACTAAAATTAATATCTTCTAACTCTCCTAAACATCGCTGAGAAGAGCAACTTCCCTGTATTTCTAATCTCAAATTCAGCAATTCTTGCTTCAGATTGTAATTAAACAAGTGTTTACAAAACAATATTTTCCTTACTTACACGCCCACTGATGTCAAACTTGGTCCTGATTTCTCGCGCCGTTCCATCGGGACACCACAGAGAGACCAGCTCCCATCATCCTACCGACTATGGAGCTGCGGGAGCTAAAGTTTATTTCTTCATCCTCGTCGGGCTTGTCGTCCCAGTCGTCGTCGTCGGTGGAGACGGAATTAGCGTCTAATATTCTAGGCTCGTTGAAGAAGACGGCGAGTTCCTCAAGCACGGCCCCGTGGTGTGTAACTGGGGCCCACGCACCGGCCCCTACCAGCACCCGAGTCTTGATGCGCTCCACGAACTCTAGCGTCGCGCGGGGAGAGGGGGAATGAATACTTCAAGTTAAATTTCGTTTGAAAATTTTCCGCGAAATCCTCAAAATGCTAGTTTAATTTCACCATAACGAAAACTTTTAAATAAATATAAAAATATCATGGAAGTACTCGCAGCACGGGTTACCTGCAGACTTGTAGCTGACATAGGGTACGCACACAGTGAAAGCAGGTTGCCAGCGTGCTGGTTACCTGCTCAGGCTGGCGCATGAAACCATAGAATACAGAAGCCTACTCGTACAGGTTTTCACTGTGAACAATTACATTATTATCCTATGTTCATTCTTGTGGCAGGTTGGAGCAGGTTGCCCGCGCGGGCAAACCTGCTTTCACTGTGTGCGTACCCATACAGTCGCAGCACGGGTTACCTGCAGACTTGTAGCTGACATACAGTCGCAGCACGGGTTACCTGCAGACTTATAGCTGACATACAGTCGCAGCACGAGTTACCTGCAGACTTATAGCTGACATACAGTCGCAGCACGAGTTACCTGCAGACTTGTAGCCAGCTTCTAGAGGAACGTAAGGGTCGGAGTCGCCCATAAGCAGAAGTGTCGGAGTGCTCAAAACCGCTGAGCAATCAAAACCGTCCCTCCCGCCCCAGAGGTCCCAGTTACGAACATGGTGCAGCGCCCCCGTCAGGTCCTCTGTTGCAACAAACTTGCATCGTCATGCGTCACATACGCGTCATGAGTTAGTCTAGTAAGGTTTGTTTTGCTATAATACCTATTGTCATTTGTCGGAGATTACTATTATCATCATGAATCAATTTGATCCCGATCGAAATACTATAGAAAAAATCACAGTATTGAAGGCTTTTTACGTCCACTGTTTCACGAAAATTTACCTCGTTCTTCCGACAATATCCATGCACGCACGCCACTCAACGGTACTGGAGACGTTGTGTCTCTCTTCCTTCATTACTCAAATAACAAATTACGTTGAAATAACGTTGTCTAACGTAAATGACACTAAAACAACGTGTATTCAACGTTATTTTAACAGTATATGTTGTTATTCCAGCGGCCTCTACCGTATTTCAGTCACTCAAGCCCGCCACGCACCTGTCCCATTACTCATCCTCCTGGCAAATGACGTTGAAACAACGTTCAATTGACGTTTAATAAACGTTTAAATAACGTTACTTTAACAGTATCTCAACGTTACTTCGACGCTAGGATGCATGATGGGTGCAGTCACTCATGCCCACTACACACCTGTCCCATAACTCGTCCTCCAGGCAAATGGCATTGCAATAACATTTAATTAACGTTTAATCAACGTTTAATTAACGTTATTTCAACAGTTTCTCAACGTTACTTCAACTCATGCCCACTACACACCGCTCCTGGAGAAGTTGTAGAAGTAAGCTTCCTCCTCCTCAGGCGAGATGCACTTGGCGACATGTAGCGGCTTGAGTAGCCTGGATACGAGACCCAGGTTCTCCTCGCACGCCACCCACTCTGCTACTGCCGGAGCCCGGGCCACCATTATTGGCCTGGGGAAAATAAAATTTAATAATATTTATGCCATTAATTTCTTACAGCCGAGACAACAATGCTCATCGAGAAGCTTGGCTAATCTAAAATAACTCTGGTAGAAAAATGCGGTGAGCATATACGTGAGGTTTGCTGCAGGATTTTTTCTTTTACGTACATACTTTGGCGCTTGTAAATGACCAAAAAAATTACACAACGTCAAAACTATAAATGAATTAATATACAATGTAATCTTGATAACATATGACTCGAAATAAATGCTGCCAATATAATCTAGTTTGAGTGTGCTCAAAGGCATTTTAAATAATTATAACATACATACGACCCACATTCATGAAGAAGTTTAAATAATCAGAACGTATAAACAGTTATCTAGAGCATGTCCACACTCCGAAGTTTGTACTAAATAATAATTCGAACTTAGAATTATTAGAATTAATTACTTCCAGCTTGTTCACTCACCAAAGTTTGTAGTAATTCCTCGGAGACGGGGAGTAGTAGCTCCCCAAGACAGTGGGATGAGGGGAGTGGATGAGGACCATCTTCCTCACAAGTCCGGGGTAGGCCTGCGCCAACCGCCAGCCTATCTGACCTCCCCACCCCGCACCAATGAAGGAAACTCCAGCGAGCCCATCTGGGGACCAAATATAATATATTTATATAATTATAATATGCAGATTATTATTAATAATGTCCATAAATATAATATAATAATGTTGTTTGTTGTATATTATATATGCTATTATATAACATAATAAAATAAATACTATAATACCTTATTATTAATATAATAATATATTATATTGAGTCATATTATATTATAATATTACGCTCGGAGCAATATAATACGCTTGAAGTCGAACGGTATCTCAGCGGAAAAACTGTTCAATTAATATAAGAGATTTCTTGCTCCGAAAGTATGGAATCGAATCATTTCTAAAACGACCATTTCGAAGAAGATTGCATGGAGAACACTATCCTATTCCCCAATGCTTCTCCATTAAAAATAGAACATACCCGTACATAGAACATACCCGTGCCCGTGGCTTTGATAATTAAACCCAACTTAAATATCAGCAACAATACGAGTATATACGATAACTCCTTTCCAATGACCATATAACATAAGATGGGCTATCACCCCATGCACAAAAAGCGTGCCCAGCAACATACCCATGCCCAGCAACATACCCATGCCCAGCAACATACCGTGCCCAGCACCAAACCGTGCCCAGCAACATACCCATGCCCAGCAACATACCCATGCCCAGCAACATACCCATGCCCAGCAACATACCCATGCCCAGCAACATACCCATGCCCAGCAGCATACCCATGCCCAGCAACATACCCATACCCAACAACATACCCATACCCAGCAACATACCGTGCCCGGGGTCCCCCAGGGTGCGTATAAAGCTCGCCACGTCGTCCACTATGAGTCGCGTTGAGTAGCTCGACCTCAGCACAGGCTTCTCAGAATCTCCACATCCACGCATGTCCAAGCTGATCACCCTGTCAGCGCACCATCGTCCTCGTTAGTAAATTGAAAGACCACTGATTTCAATTATACAACTACCAGCAATGGCGCATAAGTCACGACTCGTTATACTATTGCTCTTTACTCCTCGCTTGTCAATAAAAACTGTAGAATAATATTCAGAATTGCGATTTGTAGGATTCGATTGTTCCATTATAACGAATAAGCTTTTACGATGCCACAAAAAATTGCGGTATCGAAAAATGGTACCACATTAATGATATCACAAAAATTGTTCAGTTTAGGACAGGTCTGGCCGTTTCAGGCTTACATTACTACCAACGTTTCTTTGTATTTTATAACACAATATTCGAAGTTTTGTACGAAAAGCTTTCAATGAAATAAGATGGAAATTTGACAACATGGAGATATACTATGAACCTTTCATCTGGTGTTCATATTGGTAGCTGAACCTTCAGAACCTTGTAAGTATTGAAGTATGAACCAGCAAAGGTTCTACTCTGCACCTGAACCTCCCAGCAATGGTTCTACTCTGCACCTGAACCTCTTGGCGAGTGCAGGTATCAAGCGCCGCCAGGAGAACCAGAAGTCGCAGACGCCATGCACCAGCAGCAGGGTGGGCCGCCCTCTACCAGCACCCGCCTCCACGTAGTGCAGCTTAACGCCCTGTGAGATAACGAACTTGAAACTGGCAACCATCAATGAGTCATCGTTAAGATTTGACTTTGATTCTTCAATATTTCTCGCATTCATAATTTAAATAGTCCAAGACATACGTCCTACAAATTTCGTAAAAATTCCCAAACAAACAGTTGAATTTTAAACATAAATTTATATCGATACTAATTTAAAAATTCAATAATAATCAATAATTTAAATAATGTACGACCTCCTTTCTAGAAATTTCGTAAAATTCCTAAACAAAGAATTGAATTTCAAACCCTTTTTTATATCGATACCAATTGAAAAACTAGAAAAACGATTGAAAATCACGTATGATCTTCAGCCTGGAACGGTTGGAATCATTGATGATCTTCAAGTACCGATAATATATTTATATAATAGGTACGAACAATCGATTATTATAGCGATACGAACCATTCAACAGGAGATTTATTCTAAATTGATGTTCATTTTGAAAATAAGATCAGATTCTGCTGAAAGTTTGGAAACTGTACCTGAATTTTAATAAACTTGTGGCTACCGAAAGCAGGATCTTCCAAACATTTCGGAGGCCTGATTTTGTCCAACTCGTCGTCCGGAGTGGATGAAGAGTCCAAGCTGAGGTCATTGCACGATCCAGATTTCGATTTTCCTTCAGTACGAGTATAAGGATTCCGTCTTCTTCTTTTAGCCGTTTTCGAAGTAACCAATCTTCTTCCGAGTACATAAATAGACACTAACACTGCAAACGCGATCGTCAAATAAGCTTCAAAAACCGACAAAATTAACCTCCATAACCTGTTACGCAAACGGAAACCTGTCACGGAAGGAATTTCTGACGCTAGAACTCCGTTGATGTTTTTGCTCCTGCAAACGTTTGTGTGCCGCGATTTCTTGTTCTTCCCGCTCTTCCGTTCCGAAACACTGGCTGCGTAAGCCGACATCTTAGCAATCTGAGTGATAGCTGTCAAAGGAGTCAACGTTCCAGCGTTGAAAGCTGTTCCGATATTCATCTATTATACAGTAAACCATCAATGATTAGAATTACTAGTCTCTTATCATGTTTCTGATCGAGTGCACGTCTGTAAGATAAAATGACATCATGTTACAGTTTTATTTGAACTTCTTAGTTAAAGTACAAATGAAATTGAAATATTCGTATAATTTGTCCTTGTTTGTCCAATAATAAAAACGGTTATTTGTGTTAATGCCTCCGTTTAGGCCTTTAGACCTGTCACCGATTCTTTACATGGTGGAATTTTGAAAGCTTGTTGCAGGTCTCGAACGCGCAACTCACTGCTCCAATTTTGCTCTGCCTAACCGCCCGGCATCCTCGCCGATTCTGATCAGAGTTGCCCCACGTAGCTGGGATCGAACCCATAACTTACTGCTCCAATCCTTGTTACTCTTGACTGTAACCACTGGGTCACCCCTGTCAATAAAGCAATTCGCACGCCATCTGCATATAACGCGGCAAGTAAAGCAGGTTCCTTCTACATTTTCCCACAAAATGAGTTGGAACATTTGTGTGACGCATACCGTAATCATACATTTCATTATTATGGTAATTCAAATAAATCATCTTTGATGATTAATAAAACTTTTGTTCCTTCTTAGTCTTGACAGTCATCCAGTCTCTTGGTGGCATTATTTTGCATTCATTACGACCCAGCTTATGTTGTTATTACGAGACAACATATATGGTTATTACGACAAAGCATATATGGTCATTACGACACAGCATTAATGGGTAGGTATTACAACACTGCATATCGCCATCATTAGGACAAAGTCTATCGTTATTACGCCAATGCATTTTGTTACATCTTCGTTACATCAGATTACATCTCCATTTTATGTACCTACTCAACTATTGTTCAGTTTCTACGGTTTAAAGCTCAATCCGTTCACTAACACCCTTCCATCGATAACTCATCCAAATTTATTTTTTACCGCACGAACTAAATACATTATCTCCATTTGCATTGTTTAATGTTCGTACCCCTCTGCGTGTAATGAGCAATAAAAACATTTGACTTAAATGTTGAAAATTCCTCTAGCATTTACGTTAAGGCAGCAGCAAGTAATGGGGCCGTAACTCCGCCGAAAAATGTCAGGGAAACAACAACTGTTAAAATAAATACAGAGCTCTAATGATCTCTACAGTCTGCAGCACAAGATAAGGCACACTTCTCAAAGTAACACCAAATACTCGTAAAAAGGCACTTCAATTGGGAAACGTTTCAAATTAATGAGAAGTGAGATCGTGAATGCGTACCTTCACTATCACAACGTACATGATTTCATACCGATTATTTCTACGAATGAAAATAACGTACGATTTTATATTTGACTCCGGGGTTGATGCCCAAGAGAGATGCCAACAACCACAGTGAAGGTCAGTGGTAGACTAGTGAAGAAGACGTCTCATCGTGGATACGCCGCCACAGCTCTCTGATTAGCCTTGATAACAGCAGGCACTGTTTACAAGCACTGATCCTAGGGAGGTGCTATCAATGCTTGCTTATGTACATATAGCGGTATAAGCAAGTTTTGTTAAAGACCAGAGATTACCATGTTTTTGTCTCACTAAAGATTCAAAAAATGGAACTCAGTACTCACTGCAGTGAGTGACAGAGAGCGCCTTTTGTCGCAGACGAAAACATGAAGTCACGGACGGACAGACAGACGGACAGACAGACGGACAGACGGACGGACGGACGGACGGACAGACGGACATGGCGAGCACAATAGTGCATTTTTTCATAAATGAGAAAATGCGCTAAAAATCAAACAGCGAAAAGAAAACATGTCAAGACAACGTAATGAGTATGCAAAATGATCTTGCAAGCTAAAAGTTTGCGCAAGCACGATTTTAGCACATGTCACTGAAAGTTCTATCAAACGCTTATGGCTACATCGATCTGTCTAATTTTTGGTGGAGAGATGCAGAAAAACATAGGAAACAAATCCTGACCTTCCAAAATTTTTTAACTCTATTACTTTTCGAGTTACAGCCATTCAAAGTTGGGTATCGTTTTTTTGGGGACACCCTGTATAGCGGAATAGGTACTCGTATAGCGGCTTAAGAACACATAGCGACAGTTTTCTGGAACCCGTTTTGTGGGTTTAGCATAGCGGCATAAGTGCACGTAGCAGCTTAAGAACAAATAGCAACCGTTTTACCGGACGCGTTTTGTGGGTTTAGCTTGGAGATCCGTCAGTGATTGGCTGAAAGAGTTACGACTCTTAACTATTTCTGATAGTTAGAGACTTTGAGCCCAGCTGGTCTCGAAAGGCCACTTATTGATCAGTAACACTCAAAACTTGTACTGATGAATCCAAGAACTTATAATATATTCAAATCACTTATAATTCTCTATATAGAAAAACAAGCGGATACATATAAATATACAAGTGAAAAGCCTGTTGTAAACTTGACAGCCGAGGCAGTGGGCGCAAGCCTAAATGGCAACATATTCAAGTTTTGGAACGTTTGCTGCAGTCATTTGCTCCAATTTGGCAGATTTAAATGAATACTATCTCAATAGTTCAAGGGAAAATAACAAATAACACATTTGGAAGGAGATAAAGATGACAACATTACATACGAGGTTAAATACATTTAGCCTATTTCAGTCCATCAAGTCCAGCCGTTAACGAGGAAAATGTACCTAATAAATACCGACGCCTCTTCAACGGCGCCGTCTAGCTATGCAGGCGAGATTAAGCATTGCCCGACTTGGCAATGAGAAAGATCATTCAGAACAACGTTCGTATACAAAAAAAATGGCTATTTACTCATCGGCCTATGAAGGGCATAAAAATCAAACCAAATAACGAAAGGAAAAAATTCGGATTTACATAACCTTGCTTAGGTTAATCGATTAAAACTAGACGAAATGATAACAGTTCTGCACGTCAATAGAGCAGACGAATGCTATTCGTACGCATGCATACAAGGATCATCCTTTTCCATGTTGCAAAGAAGCTGGTGTTAAAAACATTTGTCTAAGGAATTAGTGACTATTTAAGCAGTTCAATTCATGTTATTTATCGTTGCCATATTGACCATTATCGTTGTTATGGCTAAAAAAACCTTTAACGATGCTGACCATTAATTGGCCCAAAATTCCTCCAATAAACCTGTGAATTTATTCAATTGTACTTTTGTCTAAATTCTTGTTTCAAAAAGATCATTCATTTTGAACTCTGCACGAACATTGCCGGTGACCGGTAGCATAAGATTGGGAGTTTAACCTAGTACCGCCGCATGTCACTCTCAATGAACATCAAATTATACGTAAACTATTGAGTGTAGCAATCTGAGGACGTTTGTACGCAACAGAGAACCTTTCAAAGTTATCGTACGTGGCGGCAATCATCAGTGCAATTCATTTTGCGCTCAGTGGTTAAAGTTCAGAGTACCAAGATTGAAGAGAGTCACGGGTTCGATCCCAGCTCTGTGCGCCAGTTTCTGGTCAGAATCGGCGAGGAGGCCGCGCTATTGTAGCAGTGAGATGCGAGTTCGAGACCGCTAAATGCTGTGAATATTCTGCGATGTTGAGAATCGGTGACAGGCCTACGGCCTACTAATCGCCGAAACAGTTATTATTATTAATATTATTACTAGAAAGTATCCTTTTTAGGAAGTAGGCTTGTGAAATATTGCTCCCGTTACTCATGTCAGGCGGTAGAGAGTTAAGACTGAATCGTTGTCTCCGTTGCCAGCAAAATGAGTACGCGATATAAAAATGCAGTGGAAATTCTTGTTTAATATAAAATTTGATCCCCCAATTTTAATAACTAATGCCCCTTCTTGTAGGTGGTAAGGACAATTTTTATGTTCACTTTCTAACGCAGCATATATTCACAAACTCGTACGGGTTTCATCGACTGCTTTTAAATAGCGACACATCAGCTTCAAAGCGGTATTTCCAAATACATATTTCCAAATATTTTCGAGGGACATGAATCACATGATGACAATGCCATTACCCTAACTTGATGAAAGGGATAAATAGTAATTTCTTCTGAATTTTCAATGTTCCGAATCTTTTAATTCCTATCGAATAATCGACATTGAACGAAAATTATTGTTGAATCGCAATACAAATTTAGCAACTTTTCGCGGACACGCTAGTTCTGTTACAAAATATTTCGCCACACAGCAGGATTCTATGATTTTTCGCCTTTTTGCGAGACGAGTTTTCTCAACTCAGATTGAATTCAAATAATCAAAGAAATTAAACAGGGTCTCAACAAAGAGTCGCTTGTCTGAGCTCAAGAATGCATGGACATTGGACATGATGTATCTGACACCTTCAATCTTGTGGCACATGCAGCAGTCTTCACTATGCTTAGTGCAAACGAGACAACACGTGCACAGTGTATGACAGATAATACACGTTTACACAAACGTACGTATATACTTGACATCAGATTATTTAAAATCTGTATAGGGTTTCTTAGAAACGAATCCCTTTGAGTATTTAGATTTTTGTACAACATCGTTCAAATGACCATGGGCAAATCTGGCATCGATTGTAAATTGAATACTTATCTTGATACGTCAACCGTCTCCTGAGATGCAAATTAAATCTGATAAGGAATTTCTCTCGAATTTGATAATGATTCAGTCGCCTTTTAATTATGTACGATGTATAGATTCTGTTTCTTTATTAGCAGTAACACCAATTCATCGAGGAGCCTACCATGAGTTAGATTTTACTTATTTACTAGTCAAAAGATCACTGACGGCTGACCTACGCATGCGCGAAATCAGTAAGATAACCACGTCAAGTTACGGCATCATCCCTAGAATTCTTTATCTTCGACGCTTTTTGTGCTAAAACTTAATTTGTCTCTTGATGCCCCCAGGAAAAGTGCAATTAGTATGCTAAATTGATATGACCTATGTTTCTAAGATTCATACCACATCAGTTGTTGAGAAATTTGTTATAAAACGGTGATCTTGCTATTATCGATCAATTCACCATGAGTGTATTAATAGGATTTAGGCAAATAAGTTCTAATAAACGTTTACCTATCGACGAACGCATCAATTTCTGCTAACCGCTCTAACTATTTTAGGATCAATTGTTCCAGTTAGTCGTACAAAATTTACTTTTTTTATGTAACTGTATGTCGAATTCCTAATTCAATACCGCTCTGACACTTGAGTACCAGGATTGAAGCAGTGAAGTTGCGGGTTCGATCCCATCTACCTGCAACATTTCTGGTCAAATTTGACGACCAGGCAGGGCGGTTAAGCACATTGGATATTGTTGCAGTTAGTTGCGCGTTCGAAACCTGCAACAAGCTGCGAAGATTCGCCGATTCTATTCTGCTAAGATCAGAATCGGTGACAGGCCTGACGGCCTAATCCGCAACGCTGATTCACACATATGGTTATTGCAACAGTCTCAACATTGCAACGGTCTATTGGTCTCAACAACAACAACATTGCCTAATCTGCAACGCTGACACCGCTATCACGAACTGTACTTTTATTGGCTAGACTGGCCTTTTGCTAAACCACTAAACATTGCTAAATTTGAAGAAAGTCAACCTTAGGCTTATTTTCTCCAAATTCGATGGCGAGTGTTTCTAAGATATGAGTTCGACTGTTTGAGCAAAAGTTAGTAAGTCAACTCATCCATTTGCCCAAGTGATACAAACACATCATGCAGTCCAGCCAGAAAATATCGTTTTCTCTCAACTAAAGTTCTTAAATGTTAGTTATTTTCCCATCATGTTTGAATGGATGTTCATTACTAGTAATCAAATCTTAGTGAAAAAGCATATAAATTTATTATCAAAATATATATTTTTCACCGTTCAACATGACAGTGGGTATTACACGTTACTCTTCACAACGCAATAAATTAAATTCGAAAGCTTCCAAACGTTCCCTTTATTAGTAATTGCGAATTACCTGCGGTAACACATTACCTAAATTTGTGTGTTTATTTATAACTATGTGTTTTATTATTAGAATATATATTGCCATTAGTGATTCGGAATTATCGTATTGTTGTTGGATTTAATATATTATTAAGTAATGGAGGTTATCTCTGAATAACTTCACTCTATAATCATGTAATGAATAATAGTCTAAATGCCGGTTCAAATCTGTGTGACATCAGCCATCGCTCCTTCTGTTTACAAACAAGAAATGTAAACAAAAAACAATAACGGAGGAAGTATTTGTTACTACAGCCTGTGCATTCTGGGTAACGTTACAGAGTGTTGCTTCAAAGAAAGACTCAAATTGGTTGTTTATCGACCATACAATGTCCTATGTGTCAACCAACGATAATATTTTTCATGTAGATAATGAAATAAAAAATAAAATAGCACTAATATTGTTTGTCTTTACTGATGTCAATGATTTTTATAACGGTAGAATGTTGAGTATAAAGAGTCCTCTAGCGGCTGTTAGGTACAACATCGATAATTTCAAATTATACCCATCTTTCAATTTATTTTAATATATTTATGTGGTATTTTGCAGATAATAAGGCATTTCCTTCTGATTCTAGTAAGTCCTTTTGTATTTATTCCTAAAAAAGAGACTTATTTGGAAAATTTACACATGACCACTTAAAATGCGTATATGTGATATCAATTATTGAACCGTTTGAAATGAAAATTTTCATTGCTTATCGAATTTTCGATACTATTCAAATTTGATTCAAAATCACCCATTACTTATTTGCCAACACCACGTCAGCAGCGCTGCAATTGTTGCTATCTGCAAATAGAAGTTTGAGGGCTTTCTAACATTAGCGCTACGAGACAGTGTCCTGTGTTGTGTTACGCACGCGGGTGGATCGGTGTTGTAAATCTTAGCGCCGTATTTATGGAATTTCGCCGGTTGTAGCTGTCATAGAAGTTTTCGTAGGCGCACAAATGTCAGCTCCTTCGAAGGGGCCCCATCAACATGCTTGGGCACTTCTAGCCCTTCAGAAATCTGCTCCTGCCTCCCCATCGGTTGTTCCGTGGTCTCCAGATAGCAAGGGCAGCACTGCCATTGCAAGATTAGAAGGAAAAGAATTTGAATACATGATTCGACAGAGTCGTGTCGTTATCGGCCGAAATTCTAGTAAAGGCGATGTGGATGTAAATATGGGACATAACAGTTTTATATCTCGAAAGCATATTGAGATTTATTTTGACACACCTTACTTTTACATGCAATGCAATGGAAAGAATGGAGTCTTTGTTGATGGTGTATTCCAAAGAAAAGGAGCACCACCTTTCCTCCTCCCTAGACAGTAAGTATTCACAGCTCTATGTATAATATAATAATAATATATTAAGCCTCTGTTCTTCTCATGAAAGGACTATGAAGTGATTAGTCATTCTAATTCTACCAAGTACCAACTTGACCAAGTAGTGCTAACTACTAACTACTTATTATACAAATAACAAATATGAGTAGCTAGACCTTAAGGCTTAATAATTTGAATGTATCAAGTTATTTTGGGACATGAATTTGTGAAATGATGAATTCTAAAATTATTTCATTTCACAGTGGGTCAAACCTGTTTCTCAACAATTTCCATCTCATAATTTTTTCAGATTGATGTTTCTTTAAATTAAATTGAGACAAAGTTTGAGTGGATTCAAATTTATTAAATGACATAAATGTTAATATTCAGAAAAATTTGGCTGCTTTATTATTGCTTATTACTTAATACTTATTAATTTGAAATCACATCTATCTAAATTCCAATGTACCTACAGGCTAGTATGGAATATATCTACTTGGCGAGCCGCGACTGAATTTTTCGAGCCGTGGTTTTATGGATTTGCCAGCCGTGATTCCATTTCTACGAGCCGTGATTTAAGTGCAAACCGCGATTTTTTAATCAAACAAAAATTTATGACATTCGAGCCGCGAGATTTCATACCTACTGAAATTATATGATATTAGAGCCGCGATATTTCAGACAAAAATAGGACTTTTCCAGACTAGCCTACAGGCTACACTGTACAGAGATCAAGCAACTATCAGAAGGCCTTTGGCACAACATTGGCATAAAATTTAATATCTTTATTATATCTGCCATCATATTTACCTTTAAATACCTCTCTACATGTATTTTTGGGAAGAATTTTTGCTTTGTTAATTCTGGTGATTGTGTAGTTTTGATAATAAATCATAAATAAAACTGAATACTTTTTTGGCCTACAAATCTGATCTTGATGATTGATCCAATTTGGAATATTGGATAAAATTGTCTAAAAATTATGTGTCACTGTCAAAACATGATTTTTAAAAATTAGTCAGAAATTTGATATTTTACTTACTATTTATAGAAGGAATTAGTCTCAATTAGGCAAGGGCCATGGGAATAGGTGAAATTGTTGAGGCAAACTGTTTGCCTAGCTTGGAAAAAATTTACCCTAGGGCTGCAAATAGAGCTTTCCCACCATCTAGGAACCATGAGATTCCTGCTAGTGCTAGATGAATTACTTCCTACCTACCTCATAACAAAAGTGCACAAATGGGATGCAAAATTACAAATGTGTTAGAAATTTGTCATATTGGGGCTGCAAGATTTGAGAAACAAGTAGGAAAATTCCAATTCAAGGCAAAGGGGCATGTTTTGCCTCATTCATGGGTGGCTTTGGACTGATTTTCCAGTTGGTATTTTTACAACACAATTGCCTAACTCTGGATATTGGTGACTTAGTGGCTTCTTTTGGTTTAATATAATTTTTTGTTACTGTTAAATAGTTACTATTGATAATTTCTTTAGCTTCATGTATTTACTCTGTGACTTTTTGTATTACAAATAGGTGAATACTAAAAATCATGCAAGTCACCTGCTTGCATGGTATCTTGTACCATTTTAAAAGTTAGAATATTCCCTTAAATTTCAGCCCTTGCATTTTGGCAATTTGTATCTGTTTTTTTTTTTTTTTGTATGCTTAAGGGTGCATACTGGTCATGGAAAACCTGGAAAATCGTGACATTTGATTATTCATTTTCCATGCCTGGAATGTCATGGGATTTCATTTCAGGTTATGGAAAGTCATGAAATTTGCAAATAAATGAAGAAAAAAAGAAATTGTTTTTCTGTGCTGCATGTGTTAACCCATTAATGCTGAGTGGTTCCATTTGGAACCAGCAGAGAAAAAGGGATTTATAATAAAATTGTAAGATCAAATAAATATACAAGTGGATGCATAGGTTTGACACACATCTTGTACATGTTCTGGCAAAGTTTGGTTCTGCTGCGCCAACTACTCTCTTTTCAGTTAACATTCAAAGATTACCAGAATCAGGTCATGGAAAATTTATGGAATTTTTTTTCTAAATACCAGTACGCTTCCTGATCTAACCCTTTGGTGGGCTAGTTACTATAAGTGGTCACTTGAAAGTTCCTTGTAAAAAGACCTACAACAGCCTCCAGTTTGTGTTTTCTGCTATGTTACCATGCTTCTGCCAATCTTTAATTATCTGACCATCATTCTGCATGTAGCATCATCCCTTACCATCCCCAAGAAATAAAATCTGAGTATTTAAATGAAATTATTGACCCAGAATGCAAAATTGTATTTCTTTCTGCATATTTTTAAAAGATGGAAGTAGCAATATCTATTTAATTAATTACATTAATTTGATGAAATAGTAGTAAATTGAAGTTGGATAGTTATCCTTAACATTTGCATTTAAATTACACACATTTCTGTTTGCGTTCATACTTCATAGTGACTGTATTTACTAAATTCTTCAACTGTGATTTACTCCTTCAATATGCAAAATTTCAAATAATCTATCTGATTAAACAGATTTTAGAAGGGTTTATACTTCCTTGTAATGGATTACAAATTTTAAATTTTTGCACATTTCAATGCTTGCCCACAAAAGGGTTCATAACAATACTGGTAACTTCCCTCATCATTCAATACTAAGATGAACCTCTAAATTATTACAAGTTCTGTTCAATTTTTAATGTAAATTCAACAATGGCCTTGAAACTTATCCCATTACCATCAATTTTTGTTAACAGGTTTTTATTTTTTTGAGTTCACTCCTGTATGCTTTTGCTTCATTTAATGGGAGAACTGGAATCAACAGTAAACTAGGCATGAGTCGCTTATTATGAATCTTAAACCCAATCTAACATTCTCCTAAAAAATGTAAATTCAACAATGTTGCAGTGATTGACGGAGTGCACATTTTCTTATCGATTAAAATGTGAAGTCACGGACGGACGGACATGATGAGCACAATAGCGCTATTTTTCATAAATGAGAAAATGTGCTAAAAATTAACCATACATAAAATTAAAGTTGATTGAAGTATTATTTTTTTTATTGATTTATAATGTTTTTTACCGCAAAATCATAAAATTTGATTCTAGAAATTCAAAAACTAATTATAATAACCTTGATTTTCTACCATTTTAGTAATTCCTAAAATGATTCATTATCCATCAGATGCACCAAAGATTCAGCAGGCAAAATATAGGTTCATACTGAACATATGTGTCAGTTGCAAAATGAAATTTATGAGCATGATCATCGAAATTTACCCATATATTTATTTAGATTTAATTCATGTTTCAGATGCACCATGAGATTCCCCAGCACAAACATCAAGATTCATCATGAACTGTTGTTTCAGATGCACTATAAAATTTCTCAAAACAAACATCAAGATTCATCACGAACTTTTATTTGATGCATCATTAGACTCTCCAGCATCCAACATTAAGATCCATCATGAACTTTTGTTTCAGATGCACCATGAGATTCCCCAGCACCAACATCAAGATTCAATTTCAGTCTCTAGTTGATGAGTTTGATCCACCACCTGCTCGGCTTGCATCCCCTCCGAAGCGTAAGCTACAGCCGCTGCGCATCTCCATACCAGAACAAGATGATGCTAACCTCACGTCTCCATTCCCCTCTCCCACTGGAACTATAAGGTAAGATATTTTTCCATTTTGGTTCCAATATGTATGCACTGACTTAACACGTTCAAAGTATTTTCATCACATATGAGTTTGCAACCCCGACCTGAAGTTGAATAACCTTGTTTTTAAGCATTTTTATTTGTGTTATAAAATTTATTGTTTAATGACATAAATTATGTTATAAATAGTTGATTGTTCCATGATAGAATTTGAGTACTATTAAATTATCAAACAAATATTCTAGAAAAGTTCAAATTGGAAAATATCAAGCAAATCCCAAACTTGAACTAAAAAATGCACTAAACTTGCAAGAAGCACCAATCACCTTAACACTTTTAACATTTTGCAGGCTAAAAGTAGAAATTTTAACATATTTACATATGTGTTAAAAAAAATTTTTATTACCCCAGGAGTTTCCAGGAAAATTTTATTAACTCTGAATGTTTATTCCTCTACACATTATTTGTGTTGTGCTAATTTAGGCTAATGCTTGAACTTGCTGCATTGGTCAGGCTGCAGCTACAATTGTGCTTCTTGATATAGACTGCAAGCCTCTCTTCATCTTTCACATCATTTTGGTACTTGATGTATATATATATATGAAAATATTCTATTTCTAGGTCATAATGGATTAATTTTTAATGTTTTTTGGGGTTACTTCTACATGCGTAGCTCTTTTTGTTATATTTAGGCATTCTATTATTCATAAATCAATTTCCTTGCTAACTGGAAAGAAAACTGTTCTATGTGGATAAATAAGGAAATTAATGAAAAAAAGGAATTTATGACGCAACTGAGGAACAACTGGTGAAATGAACAACTGGTGAAATTAACAAGGAAGGACTGTGATGTTAGAAGAGTTATGAAATTTATGTGAAAGAGTACTGTTTAACTAAACCTATTCTGTAAACTAATAAGATGAAGAAACGTGGGACGTAGCTGGATTCGGGAAGTAACGAAAAAAGGAACTGCGTGGCGTATATACATTTGAGAACTAGCAAGAAAATGAACTGTGTGACGTAGATAAATTCTGGAACTAACAAGAAACTGAACTGTGTGACGTAGATAAATTCGGGAACTAACAAGAAACTGAACTGTGTGACGTAGATAAATTCGGGAACTAACAANAGAAAATGAACTGTGTGACGTAGATAAATTCGGGAACTAGGTAATGAGAAAATGAACTGTGTGACGTAGATAAATTCGGAAACTAACGAGAAAATGAACTGTGTGACGTAGATAAATTCGGGAACTGACGAAAAAATTGAATGTGTGACGTAGATAAATTCGAGAACTAACGAGAAAATGAACTGTGTGATGTAGACAGTTCAGGAAACTGACGAGAAAACGACCTGTGTGACGCAGATTGATTCCGAAACTAAGGAGAAAATAACTGCGTGACCTAGGTTGGTAAAACGAACTGTAACTTCGTTATAGACCGTTCTTAGTGTAAGCCAAAAAGAGAATAATTACACGTGCACAGTTCGGGAAACTAACTAGCTAAATAAGGGAGCAGTGGCCTAGCAAATTACGGAGCAGGCAATAAGTCCAGCAGCTATCTCAATCAATCGTCAGCTATGGAAAGATCGGGTTCCAAAGGCCGGATCCCTTGTGAATCAAGTCAAGAAAAATTCAAGAATCGGCAACAGGCCATGGGCCCATTTCTTCAATGCCGACACTTCTATTCTATTCTAGTGGTGATATCAAGCATACCAAGTGTAGTGGCAAGGGGTGAACCGCTGACGCTTGTGACGTCACTAATGTAAACAAAGCTCGCACTCACATCGGCATGCCACTGTTGTTAGCTGCCGCTTCTTGCCTTGATGCAAGGTGCAATTTCAATTACTTTGTCTCCAATCGAGTGAGGAATTCGTTTGTGTACCTTTTCACTTCCGTAGAGATTCATTTGTTTTCGCAGCGAAACTATTTAATTCGGTATTCATATTTAAAATAAATGTCTAATTGCAGTTATGCTCATTCACGACTTGACTTTATTATCTTCGTGAAATTTGTTTGTAAATCAATTATTTTGTTCTTGAAACCCCGTCTTGTTTGCCTGCCTTCAATGCATGTTAAAAACCGCGCGTACTTGAAAGTGTTCGAGGTAATAGTTGAATTTATTTTATTGATTATTGTAAATTAATGCGTTTCAAGTTACTTTTAGAAATATTCACCATGAGAACGGAAACCTACTTTGACCTCGCGATATATCGCAAGCAAACTATAGAGAATGATTTTTAAAACTAAATAGTGTTTCCTGTTGTAACGAATTCGTATCCCGTCCGACGATTGTATATCTTCTGTACGATCTCCTGATTGCCTGATTGAATATTATGCAAGATCGTATCTTTTCTACGTAGAATAACAGCGATTGAAATGTTTATAAAGTTTTCTGAGAACAGCGTTGATTTTTGTGCGATACCTTGAAGGTTGTCTTATCTTGACCGTTTCAAACTATGATATGGAAGTTTATCGAGTAGTTGCTGTTGGCCTTATCTCTGTGTTTACTCAATCACAGACTGCGCGTGATCATGGTTTGTTTTGGCGCTATCGTCCCGCCAAGGTTACCAAATGACTAGCGATGTGTGTTATAGGCATAGACGTATTTACTATAACGATAATTCTTCCCTCTCACCGCTCAGATGTAGAAAATAAGTAAACAGCAATTTTCATATTCACCAGAAAAACGATCTTCATCCGGTTCTCTCACTGCTACCTCGCACTGTGGTGTAACATTCGAGTTACACCATAGTTTTCCAATGATATTAATAGTGCTACAACATTTCTTACTAGCAGCTTTTCTTAACCCAGGGTTGTCCGGGTCCGGGATAGTACCTACCTAAAATTTGGGAATCCCAACATGCCTATCCTGTTTTTAAATTTTTAATCTGACCTACCTTGAAAAAACCCGTTCCAACAGGTATTCAAAATGAAACTCAAATTTTGATCTCAGTTTTATGTTCAAATTAAAAGTGATGTTTTTAAATATAATTTACGCATACGAAATTTGAAAATTTAATTTCAAAAAGTAAATTCATTCTCACCCTCACCATTTTGCCATATATCAACATGTATTGTGTAAGCGCGATCAAATAGCGATTTTATATATCACATTGTCAGTCCTCAAAAAAAAACGCACACAAAAAATTTCAAAAATTACCGAAGTCCAACGAAATTTCTGACACGTCATGTATGCTGCGAGCTCGCAGCTAAAAACAAATAGATGGCTGCGGCAACCTTTTTTTTAACCATCTTGACTCAGAGTAAACCAGCTCGTTCCTTTATCCAGCGGTTCAGGTCTCGTATATTATTTATTTCTTACTGCATTAGCATATAGTAGTGTATAATTTGTTATGTCTGAAGCTTATGCATTTAGCCTATTTTTACAGTTGCCATGCAATCTTCTAGGCTTCCATCTTGAGTTTGTTGATGCATGTATAAAATATCTGCATTAAATACGTACAGGCCAAGAGGATTTCTTTAATTGCATGCATCGTCTTTTTTTTCATTCACTAGTCATCACTAATGCTTGTTACAGCGCTGCCTACTCTCATGTCACGCTGGTTACAGCGCCGCCAGCTCATGTCACGCTTGTTACAGCGCCGCCTCCTCTCATGTCACGCTTGTTACAGCGCCGCCTCCTCACATGTCACACTTGTTACAGCGCTGCCTACTCTCATGTCACGCTTGTTACAGCGCTGCCTCCTCACATGTCACGCTTGTTACAGCACTGCCTCCTCTCATGTCACGCTTGTTACAGCGCTGCCAACTCTCATGTCACGCTGGTTACAGCGCCGCCTCCTCTCATGTCACGCTTGTTACAGCGCCGCCTCCTCTCATGTCACGCTTGTTACAGCACTGCCTCCTCTCATGTCACGCTTGTTACAGCGCCGCCTCCTCACATGTCACGCTTGTTACAGCACTGCCTCCTCTCATGTCACGCTTGTTACAGCGCCGCCTACTCTCATGTCACGCTTGTTACAGCGCCGCCAACTCTCATGTCACACTTGTTACAGCACCGCCAACTCTCATGTCACGCTTGTTACAGCGCCGCGAACTCTTGTCCGACGTCGCCGCGTTCGTACCATGGCAGCAGCGGCATCAGCCACGTCAGCGGAGCAGCCCTGGGACGACGCTTAGGCTTACAACCTCCAGCACCTACACCTGCTGCAGGTGGGTTGCTTTCTTCTGCAGGTGGAAAGTTATTTTCTTATAGATCAGGGGCTATACTTTCAAAACTCGCTAAGTGAACGTAAGTACTTACGCTCTATTTTCTTATCTATGATTGGTGGATTTTGCTTGAAAGACCGTCAATGATTGGCTGATGAACTTACGATCTCTTAACTTTTTTTGAAAGTATAGGCCAAGAAGAAAACATGAGTTCAAAATATATAGTTTTTACGCACTGGGCAGTTGTGGTCATCAATAATGCTGCAGGATAAAGTACAAAAGAATGCTGCCCTTTGCAGTGGGATGAATCTTAACTTACGGATCTAAGATGGCAACTAGTTGTATATGCATGAATGCAGAATGTTCATGCTGCTACAGAACGAAGCAGATCTAAGGCGGGCGAAACCTTTTAATTTTAATTTTAATATATTCATAAGAAGTATTTTTTACATATTTTTTGATAGCTTAGAAAATATGACATTGATCTCCTTAAATTATTTATTTGATCAATTTTAGAAGCATGAAGTGATAACTTTTTCTTACCAAATTGAAAAAAAATGTCGCGTGACAGGCGCGGTGATGCTATCGGCAAGCGGCATTGAGGGCTCCTCGAGTGCGGACGGCACTAAGCAGCAGTTCACTGTCCGACATGGCGGACCACCCGCGGCTGTGGCTGCTCTCAGAAACACGGAAATTAAAAGTAGGGTTTAACTCTGGGTGTTCAATTTAATGGGGAGTTGGTTTCAGAGTTATTGATTTTGTAATAAAAATTATCTTTTTTAACAATTTATTTGTATTACAAAGTAAAGTTTTTTTTTTCCAGCTCACTAAATTTCTGACAAATTAGTTTTGCTTGAACCGGCCTTATTGCAACGTCCCAAATATTTTCGAAAGAATTAATATTCGAAAACTTATCATATTCAGCATCAGCAAACATACTGAAAGAATTATATACGGTAGCATTGCTCCATCTGCGTAACGCAGAGCAAAACCTTCTATTAATTTTTAACAATCAATTTCTACTGTAATTTCTGCATTTTTACAATAACATGAAAATTGGTAAAAATTTAATCTATTTCCAAGTGCTATTCACCCTCTAAATTTAGAATTTATTTCTAAACAGCTAATGTTCTTAGCGCATTTTCTCATTTATGGAAAAAAACCCTATTGTGTTCGTCATGTCCGTCTGTCTGTCCGTGACTTCCCGTTTTCGTTAATTTTTGAGAAAATGCCCTCTCTGTCACTCACTGCTGTGAGTACTGAGTTATATTTTTTCCGTTTTTTTTTAATTCCCTAACCTGAGAATAAATTTCCAGTGACCCTAGCACCGGGCGAGGAATACGTAACCCTGAACTCCGGCATGGCGGGGGACGGCGGCAGCGCGACTATCCTTGCGTCTGGGGGACCGGCGACATTGATGGTTGCCAGCTCCTCCATTAAGGTCTGTTATAGGGTTAAGTTAATTAGCAGTAAGTTAAGTTAATTTAATTTAAGTCACTATTGGTTAAGTTGCCAGCTCCTCCATTAAGGTCTGTTATAGGGTTAAGTTAATTAGCAGTAAGTTAAGTTAAGTTAAGTCACTATTGGTTAAGTTTCCAGCTCCTCCATTAAGGTCTGTTATAGGCTTACAGATTTACCCTACCAGTCATCTGACATTGAAAAACGTTCACCCAACGAAACCAACATTTAATCAACATTTTTTTCAACAAGTGACTTTTATTGTTTATGGCTACTTAGCACCCATTGAGATCTGTTACTGGCTTACAGTCTTGCCCCACCAGGCATCTGCCATTGAAAAACGTTCACCCAACGAAACCAACCCTTAACCAACATTTTTTTCAACATGTGACCTTTATTGTTTATGGCTAGCTAGCACTCATTGAGATCTGTTACTGGCTTACATTTGTACCCCACCTGGGACATGGCGTTGGAATAAAAAGGCGCTTCTTCGATGAAACAAACTCATAAATCCATTGAGATGTGTCTTGAATGCTGACTGTTGTCATTTATAGCTAGTTAGCATAGAAATGTCTTGATGTCTAAAAGTGATCGTTTATGGCCTGTTATCATCATAGAGATAGAGGTTACCTACCTAAGCACCCTTAGACGCCGCTCATTAGTTTCATATCGGCTAAAGATGCCTAAATAGTTAGACAAGCAGCAACCAAAGTCTATGAAGCTTGTGTATTGTAGCGAATATGCAAATTGAATTCGTAGTGAAGGCAAAAGAAATGCTGGCAAACCAGCTAAGGTTTATAATCGTGAGCGTCAGTAGAATGTATACAAATGTTAAGCTGATCCAAAAGGTAATGTTGCATGCATTTAATGTTAAAGGCCCGTTAGAACATGCACACAACGGTAATCTGATAAATTTTGGCAAGTTCAGGTAGATATTAAGTCACCAGTCAAGATAATCTTTCAGAACTTATTTTTTATAATCCACCGCAATTCTAATGCAAATCCCATTTTTTATCATAGGTCTCTTTGTAAACAATACAGTAATAGCTTCTTACAATAAATATTTTTGACAGCTAACAGTTTTTGAATTCTCGAAAATATTGGATATTCATGATTGTTGAATGTTTTAGTGTTCATTATTCTTAATTTGGCCGTACAATTTACAAACGTGTGTTTCAGAACGCGCCGGAGACCTACATCGACGCCTCTGGTATCATCTTTGACTCATCACCAGCAGCAATGACGGCTCAATACGCCGATGATGGCGTGACAGGCTCAGGTATTGTGTTGGACGCCTCAGAGAGCGGTGGTCTTGGTGGATCCCACAACGGCATTCACGCTTCCAGCAGTGCCAGCGGAGGCCTTCTGTCGGTCGGTGCAGAGGAAAGCGGTTACTTCACATCGCCACATCCTCCTGATCAGCCTAATAGCCCACCTGGAGCTAAGGTGAGTCATCTATTCCATTTGACCAACTCATAGGATTATCTCTGTATAGGCTCTTTCTTGCCTCAAAAGTGTAGGATAGCCATTCCCTTGGGGTGAGACATTTATGTAGATTAACTGCATAAAAATACTATCACAAGCAAGTCACTGATTTAAATAATAGTCAAAGCATTCTTATAGTAAGTTAATACGATGAATATTAGTTCCTTATTCCATGATCCTAATTTTTCTTCTCGATTCCGTAGTAAACAGATCGCATTATCGAGATTTAATTTTATGTGCAGGATGACTCGAAGCCTCCGTACTCATACGCCCAGCTGATTGTCCAGGCCATATCTTCAGCTTTGGACAAGCAGCTCACACTCAGCGGCATATATTCCTACATCACTAAGAACTATCCTTACTACCGTACTGCTGATAAAGGCTGGCAGGTATGAGTGTTCCCCTTGCAAACAAGTCTCTGATAAGGAAGCTGCGTTCTTGTTATTATATTTAACGTACCCCAAGTGCCCTAGATGAAATCAGGATTATAATGAGTAAACGTGGCTCCTATTTGTGTTTGAACAAAATATTTTAGTCCGCATGAAAGATGCAAAGTTCAATGCAATCTTGCATGCAAAAGTATTAATAAGAACTATTGAAGTTGGCATTAGTTTTAAAATAATATAATTGAAAGTTTGCGCTCTAATAAAAAAATTATTTTATATAAATCTGCAAACTAGACTAATGACATTATTTTGTTACTCCCACATGGCATATACTTTACATTAAATTTTGGGCTTTAAGGGATGGGAGAATTTTTTTCAAATCCACATTTCTTCGTCCTATGTAGGCACCAGCTTGCATTAATTGCTTCTACCAAACAGAATTCTATCCGTCACAACTTATCGCTGAACCGATACTTCGTGAAAGTCCCGCGCTCTCAAGAGGAGCCAGGAAAGGGCAGCTTCTGGCGCATTGATCCGCCCAGCGAAGTGAAGCTCGTAGACCAGGCCTTTAAACGGCGCCGGCAACGTGGCGTGCCTATTTTCAAGGCTCCATTTTCTCACATATCTGCTAGGTATGATTATTCTTTAGGTCGGGTTATGGGACGGCTGTTTTGATTCTTTTAATGATCCATTTTCTGACATATCTACCAATTATTTTATCCTTCCTAGTTTTTGTGCGGCCGTTTTGATTCTTTGAATGCTTCATTTTCTAACATATCTACTAATTATTTTATCCTTCCTAGTTTTTGTGCGGCCGTTTTGATTCTTTAATGCTCCATTTTCTAACATATCTACTAATTATTTTATCCTTCCTAGTTTTTTGCGGCTGTTTTGATTCTTTGAATGCTTCATTTTCTACCAATTAAATCAGGTTTGATGGTTATTAATTAATCTGATTAAATTATCTGGTAATTAGCTTCATACCAGATTGGTTCCTCTGCTCGGATATAGTGTTATTTTCATCATCTGCCGCGGGCCTTAAGGTTTCATATCAATAATCTAACTTGTTTTTAAATAAATGCGTTGCGTTTCACATGATTTGATTTTTGCTAGCGATTGAATAATATTGATAATAGTTATTACCAAGTACCCTGCTGTAATAACTCTTACACTTATTCCGTCAGCACATGTTGTGTTTTTTCTTGTTAGATAGAATTGCCATTTTCCTCCCGATGCTGTTCTCATTGCAATTGGCTTTCTCTGTCAAGCCTATGTGTGTGTTTCTATGTGTCTTCCGTGTGCCTAGTTGATTAAATTTGCATTACAGAATTTGTTTGTCCTTGTTTATTTGTTGTTGGGTGTTAATTGAGATCGTTTTCCCCAGTCGCTCAGCACCAACTTCTCCCTCTCATGTTGGGATGAGTGGATTGGTGACTCCCGACTCCCTCTCTCGAGAGGGCTCCCCCTCTCCATCAGAGCACTACTCTCACGACTCCCACCACTACCAGGGAGACTCTCACTCTTACCAAGCCGAGTCGCATCATTTCACTTCCGAAAACACGTCCACTTCGTCATCCGGGGTTCATTTCTCCGACTCTTCGAACTCGTCACTGTATCACGAGGGCGGCACCGCTACGCTCCACTACCGCGACGATGACTTAGGCGATGCGCATTGTGACGTCATCGCTGCTGCGTCTCCTGTGCGCCACATCACTTCTCAAGGTTTCGTCTCGTTGACATTTTTCGTTATTTCTTCGCCAGGCATTGATCATTGGCGTACTATCTATCGTTCGTATTTTGTTGCTCAATCTTACAACTTCAAAGAACCTAAGTGACCTTAAGAGTTCTTGTTTTATTTAATAAGTGATAACGATTGAACGTTAGACGTTCAATTGTTCAAAGTTAGACGTTCAATCATTGAACGTCAGACGCTCTATCGTTGAACGTCAAAAGATTTTAACTCCTTGGGAATTCATTAGGTAATTTTTTTAAGCGTTTTAGTCCCACATTTTATCTTCTTGAATTATTTCTCAATTTTACAGGAGGCAAATATATACTCGCCACGACCAGTGGAGCTAACAACGTTGGGACTGTCGTTAAAACCATTGAGGGGTGCAGCATCGTAGACGGCGGTGTCGTGAAGACCGTAGGTGGGATCATCGAGGGCGGCGTGGTCAAAACCTTGGGCGGCCTCATGGACACGTCAACCGGCATCGTGAAGACCGTGGGTGGCATCACTGATGCCGGTTGTGCTGGAGGTATGGTCAGGACTATTAGCGGGATGACTAAAGTGGATACCAGCGGCGGGCAACAAGTTGTTATCCAGCAGACGACTTCTGACCAGACACCAACCCAAGTTCTCCTGCCGTCTGGGTTGAGCAAGTATGGGTGAGACAGAAAGTGTGCTGTGCATGCTAATTTTAAATCTGAAGATAAACATGTTGATCATTTGAATAACGAAATTCAAATATATTTCTACCTCTTTTGTACATTGTTTCTGTGATATATTTATCCCAGTAATTTAAATCCTGTGTTCAGTCTAGATGGTGACCTTTTTCATTTTTTGCGGGTTACTATTTTTTGCATTTGATTGTTGATACAATGTGGACAAATTATTGTCGATTGAATGAAAAGAGCAAGAAACTGCATTGCTGTAACCAATTTTCTGTTGCAATTTTCCTTTGATTTTCATTGCTGACTTTGAATTTTTACCAATATTAATGTTCATGCCTCTTACCGATAATTTAATTTCAGGAGCTACGTTTCCGTCAATGGTGAGATGAGGAGAGTGATAAGCGCGAACACCATTGGAAGTAGCAACAGCGGTACCGTCAACAACAGCAGTGGTGCTGTCAACAGCAACGGCAACAGCTGCAAGCCTCAAAAACCTGTCATGCTCGGGATTGTCTCGTGTGGCCAACCTCAACAAGGGACGCCATCACACATGGTCTACGCTACGGCTATCAGCTCCAATAACGGCATCAACAGTAACAGCAGTAATAACGGCACGGTAACAGTCGTGACTCACCAACAGCAGGAGACAACTTTCAAGCCTCCTTTCATGCAGACGAAACAGATGCAAATTTCTGAAGATAATGAAGCTCGAGGAACTCTCACTTCCACAGTTGAGCCGGTGCTTAAGAAGCCTCGCTGTGATGTTCCTTAACGTCCGTTGCTGCTCATTAACTCAATATTGCTTCTCAGGATATCGCTCTTTTGGGGCAAGAATCAAACAATATTCATGCACCATCATGGATTTTTCCTGTGCATATACACTTATGAAAAATATGCTTTATATATTGGGTGTTTTGCTGCGTTCCACTCGAAACTATAGTCCAGGAAATTCGTAACTATAGTCCAGGGCCAAGGAATGGCGTGAGCAAAAATACTCTCCTCTGATAAAATATCATCTTCAAATACCTCTCTCAACCTCATTGTTGAGCAACTAGTTATATTTGTTTATCGACCATAGCAAAAATTTTTAATTTGAATGATGATATTCATCTTCGTGCCACCCGACAACTAAACTTTTTAATTTAAATGGTGATATTTTTCTGCATTAAGTTTTTTAGCTTCCGTTACCTTCATTGTTATTCCTTGGTTACTCCTGACATCTCAGTCTTCACCCAGTACAATAATAATCCCTATGCTCAACTTATATTTACAAAATTTATGCATCGCCCGGAAACGGGTAAATTCTTCAGGGTAATTTTGACTCGTTTGATTCTTGCCCCATCGTGACAGCGTGTTTGTATTTGATGTAAATACCACCACATACTTCTTGAAACCTTCCCGTACCCATTAATTATATAATTTGTGCGTTTACTAGCCTTTTTAGGGGAGGAAAGAGAAATTCAACTTAGATTAATTTCTATAGTATATGTACTCCTCCGATATAACGTTGCCGTTGCTAGTTGAGTAATAACGCTTGTAGCTTTAGCATATCTAGCAAACGCCGCCAATGAGCGGAGTTTAGAACTTATGAACTTCTCTGAGTCTTTTTTAATCGTTACCAGGGAGTGGAAGAATAGAAACGTTAAGATGCCGATCAGCATGAACCTGGATAGTTCACTATCATCATAGATGGAATTATGAATTCATAACTTTCATCAGTTTTGTCCGTGGTTGCAGCACGCTTCTAATAAGGGCAGGAGCTTTGAAAAATAATCAATAAAGGTACAAACAAACTTATTGGCATATTAATTTAAACGAACTGATGCATTTAGGGTTAAAGTGTTCTTTCAGTACTCTTTAATTTTGTTTCTTGCCTCAAAAAAACGCTGAAAACCTTTATTTCATTTCGTTTTTCTGCTCGTAAGTTCTCAAAATTTTACATTTCCATACAAATAGCGTTCAATTTACACTCATTGAACACTTTTAAAAACTCGAATCTAGGAAAATTTGAACTCATATTCCAAAAACTTTGTTATTTTTCGCTGCTCATGAACACACTGCGAATATTAAAATTATATTCCTGCGCTTCTTTGTTACTGGAGAAATCAGGAGGCTTCCATCTGCCAAGTCAATAACGCATGCTTTAATATCAACGTAGATTCTTGCTGCAATCAAATCTTGCTCTGTAATTAAAATTTATAAATAAATCAGTTGTTACCGTCTATTTCATGACAATCAATGTTTAATTTGAAGCGTCTCGACACGTTAATGTGATGTTCTAAGTTGAACTTGAGCACTATGTTATTCATAATCAACTCGAGCTTAGGCTTGTTCGCCGCACGATTGCCGAAAGTAACAAGCATACTCTGAAAAAAATGTATGTCTCTATGTAAAGAGAACCCGCAGGACCGAACGTTGTTGATGTGGTCTGTACATATTGTGTGCAATATGCCCTGCTTTTCCAGCCTCATGTGCATTGGGTGAATGCTGTATGAGCGTGTGATGTTTTTGTCGGTAGAAACAATCCCTTTATACTTTCAATCTTACCAAGTGTGAGAGTTGGAGCGGTTCTAGTGCTTCATGACGTTTAATACATTTTTTTACTTACTAGAAGTACGATACCAAGCAGCGTATAAATTATGGAATGCAAGATTTCAGCTCACCTTTCTATTTAAAGTCAGTGCTATTCAAAGATTGGTTTCTAGATCTCAATAGAAAGAAAGCGTATCCATTACAAAACGTACTCTAGTATCGGTCAAAAGCGTTGTTTGTAGTTTTATATTATATTTTCTATATGCCTCGCTTATGCTGCGGGCATTGTTTGCTTCTTTTTGTACTAATATTCGTACCTTTATTTTTTGACTTTCTGTTCACAACGTTATTGTTTGGTGTAATTTATTTCAAATTTAAAGATGATTTGACTTTACGAAGCTTTTTTTTGTCTTGAAGGCATCACTGTACAAATTTCTTTAGAACCTTACATTATATTCTGAGGTTCATTAGTCATTCTGCATGTTCATTGAATTTGTTGCGTTTATTTGTTTGTTATTGTTTAGATAACCGCTAAGATCGCGTCGGTTTAGCCTTAGTTTTAATCATAGTTATTTCATGGAAATATTGTACATAGCTGCTGATTTATGTTTATTCCTTACCTCGCCACGCTAACCAGCTGCTGTTTTTTTCAATTTTCTTTGACTTGTCATTTTACTTTTTTTATGATATACTGTCGTTGAGTGTCAAGCAACATAGACTGTAAAAAGTTAATTGAGTATCTGGATGTAGATTTCGCACTTTGAAATCAACACATCGGCTCTGAAATCAACACGAACAACCCGTTGTTAATTGTGTTTTTGATGTTGCTGAAAGTGATGGCGAATTCAGAGAAATTGCTTCAGCTTGTGCAGCGTGCGTTAGGATATCCCTAAAAATTAAATTATAAAATGCAGAACTTGGTTCGAAATTATTTATTGCTCCTATTTCTTCATAATTTATTAAAGTGTCACTGGTAAGTTAGATCATCTGAAAAGTTATGGTTTCTTGTGTTTGTAATTATTCAATTGTTTATGACGACGCGGCTTCTGAATTTGTTTGGGATTAATAATTGTACATTTTTACGTTACATGTCTAAGGTAGTTAGTTTGCTTGCTTTGCGCTCCTTGTGTGTTTCATCATTATTATTATTATTTTTCTTTATAACATGTGAACGCACTTCCTTTTGACGGAAAAAAGGGGACTGTCGTACTCCTGCCCACTGTACGGCTTTATGACCATGAAAAATTAATATCCATGTAGGCACAAGGTGTGAATTTTATTAGTCCTGTTCCGTTCAACACGACTTGCATGTCATAGTACTGTCATTAGTCAGGGCCTACCACCCCCAAGGCTTCTTCCCTCCCGCCCAGATCTTTAGTTGTATATTTCCTACATCTTTCCTACCATGACTAACGAAACAATTAGTTCCACGAATTATCTGGGTATGATAATTTAAGGGATAAAAATGTATACGTGTGAAATCCTTTACGTTGTGTGGACTGCGATCAGACGAACTCTCGTCTCTTCTGTCTCGCACTACTGACACTGCCGCAACAACTTGCCACGAAGTAGAGTTTCATCAAGCAACTTAATTGGCATTAGTTTCTGGTCAAATGATAATGGGGTAGATTGGTTGTCAAGAATCTCATTGCTCCAAAAAAATGTTTTTATGATTTTTGGCAATATTTTATACACCGAAATTCTCTACACCACTCAGAAACGACGGTTATGCTGCAGAAACGTTAGTGGAGAGACGTCCTTCTTCATGGCCCTCAAACCTGACGATAACAATTTTCTCGACGAAATAACTCTCTGATGTCCTTAATGTTGGTTCTGTTTCTATTTTCCATGCTTGTTCATTTTTCACTGACCTAGTGTGAGAAGTCAGTTTAACATTTTGCTGGCATAAACGATGAAATTTATTTGTGATGACGAGTTTCTGGTCATCAAATGTGCAATAGTTGACCCAAAAATGTTTGGCCCGAAAAAATAGTGACGCGAATGTCAAATGTGCTGCAGTTTGGCATCATGTTGCCATGCTCACAAATTTCCTATGGATTGATCATGTTTATAGTGTGCAAGCGAGCAAAGAAGCAAGTGAGCATCAAATTTGTAATTTTTATTTTATTCAATTTTTAAGTATAACATGATCGGTAGATAATTAGTAATCGATCGTTCAGTGAAGGAAGCTCTGTTCAGACTTGAACAAACTGTATAAAGAGGAGTGTGATGTCATCGTTTTTTTTATAGCCTCTTCATTTTCAGACAACCTGCTTTGTGTACATGTGTTCAAATATTGCGTCTTGTCTTTAATCTCTTTTAATTAACACTGATATGGTAAAAGAGAATTATTTTGCGGAGGTCATTTGCGAGTACATTCATTGACAGCGGGTAAATACAGTAAATCAGGATCAGGATTCAGTGGCAAAGACACAAGATCGATGAAAACCGGCCAAATTATTTCCAATGCATACTGCATTGGATATAATAAAGAAAGTTTTAAACATAAACCTTTTTGAAGCGCCATAAAGGTTTATTGATAGTTATTGTTTGGATTGGGGCGACTGTGGAAGAGGTTTCTAACATTTCCCCAACAAAAATGGATTTTTTTGTAGTTTAGTTGTTAAAAATTTTAAATTCATTTAGATATCTCTGCTCTTCGTAAAGACAGACAATGAACACTGTGCTGCGGCGATGTCGAACTTTTAATTGATCCAAGATGCTGCTATGAATCTATGAAATTGGCTAACCCAGGTCCATGAATTATTTTGCTGTCATTGAATTTCGTCTTCAATTACCGAATTTGTTTTCCCTGCATTGATGTGATATCACATGATTTTTTCTTTAGCTATTCTTGTATCCCCATCTCATTGAGGGCCTTTTTTAACTCTTCTAGACGCTTTTTTTTTTTCATACAAACGGTTTCCTTCCTTCACTCTGGTAATGATTTTTTGGGGGGACTGTTAGGATGATTTACATATGACAATGTAGACATGAAGTTGTTGCAGCTTAACAGTATTAATGCAAGCAACGAGAATTCAGCTTTTATGCTTTGCTAATTGTTCAATTAATGGGAAGTTTTTTCTTCATATTCTTCGTGGGAATTTTTTTGTGCCGCGTATGCAAGCAGAGTGAAAGCAGAAATGGGCATAAAATTAGGTTCTCCTAGATGAGAAAATTTATAAAATAATATAATTCATCCAGAATCGCTGGTTGGGGGACATTCAAGCAATGATTAATCAATATTAAATGTATATCATGGTGTAAAACGTTAGGCACAACAAATTCCTTATAAGTACACGCTTATTCCAAATATCTTAAAGCCGTAGTTAAACATTGAAGTTAATTTAATGTGAACGTAACTGTTGGTTATCTGAGAATGTTCAGCAAATTCCTTAGGAAAAAGATTTCAAGCTATTACACCAACGATACTTGCAACGCTGAATGGATCTGAATTTTTGTATCATTGATTTGAAACTCATCATGTGTGAAATCAGGCGACTCAACGGATTTGACTAAATAAATAGAAAGCTTAAATCATGTAACAACATTATATTTTATTGCACATAGTTGAATACGGAGGAAAAGATTACAGGCACCTGATAAAACTGCATCGTCCGTGTTAATAATTGTTCTTAAATATATCCTAAATGCAATGTTACACGAAAGGCAAGAAATCTAACTTACTGGAACGAAATTTTTCACAAAAACATTAACGCGAATTTAAAGAAAAAACTGAAATGACATTCCTCTGTTCAATACCATTGCAAGCAGTCTGAAGATACAGCTTAAAAGTTAGAGAAATGTTCAGGGCGATGACAGTGCTTGCATGCATTCTAGCTGAAGAATAAATTATTTTTGATCGATTCAATCAAGAGAACAAAAAAATTCTCAGGAACAAGCAGGCTGAAGCTCAACGCAAATAAGTAAGCAGTGTAAGTCAAAAGCAAAACCAATCATTCAAAACGTTAATTATGAGAAGTTCAAACACCATTGCTCGATTTAAAATCACAAAAATTGTAGATAAATAGGGAGGTTTGTCACCAAACTAGATGACAAATTTCACCGACATTTTACTGTACTTATCCTAACTTGTACAAGAATTAATACGCGGGAATATGAATAAAAAAAATTAGACGAGAAAAAGTCTCAAGAAACTTGAACTCAAAGATTTATCATGAAAACCCATATAATATGAGTGGTGTCGTCAAAATTTTATTTTTTTTTCAACGAAAGAGCTTGTAGGGTATGTATAACATGAAAATTGATGATCAAAAATTGACTTACAGTCAAGTACTGTAACCACAAAAATAATTCTACCTTAATGTTTTGTTCAAAACAAATCCAGCATAACCTGTTAACAACTAACACTAATATCTAAGGTCAACTCCACGAGACTAGAGTTCTCAGCGTCGTTTATGACAGAAATCTTGGCCGAAAAAAATGGACGAAGATGGTCTAAGCAAGAAAATAAGAAGGTATGCTGTTTCACAGCGTCATCGGGTAGACGCTCATGAGCCAGCATGCGTACGGAAATGGCTCCAGCCATGGAAGCAGCGTGTGAATTTCTTGCTTTCCTTTCCTTTGAAAGTGCAGAGCAGCTTGCGAGGTTGCGACTCCTCCTTCACGCGCAGGTTTTGTACATACACCTGCACGCCAACACATCCCATGAAACGCGACTCTAATGGATTTTGAACAGTACGATATTGGTTCCAGTGAACTAAAGACTTTCTAGTAACTATTTGGTGTGAACTGTGACGTTCTAAATAAGTGTTTAGTGTCCACGGACCAAAAGTTTTTCGATCTATGATATAGAAAAAATTTCAGAGAGAAATCAAACAACAACGTAAAGAATTACGATTCTCATAGAGCATAAATGAAATTTGTAGCTAAAAGAAGTTTCGAAACTAAATGCACTAGTACACAATGGGGGCATAAAATCTCAAAAGAAAAATGCAACTTACCTGTGCGCTCTTGAGAGCAAGTTTGATCTCGACGTCTGATGCTTTTGAACCAAGCCACAAGAAAACATGCACCCCGTCGTCCAAAATCATCGAGTCATCGTCAGCAAGATCATCCTGAAAGGAATGCATCGTGAATAAATTATATTGCGGAAGAAATAAACTCTCTGCAACATCAGAAGATCCGGGAACAGTTCGCGGTTTTTAAAAATAGCTGGTCTACCTGTCAGGTCAACAGGCTTCAAAACAATCTATTTTATGCGGTATTGAAATGTGCGCTACGTGTTATTATTAACTAATTACCATTATCACGTAGGACACAATGAAAAATCTTACAATGAAGTATTAGAAGAAAATTATTATAGTATTAGGTTTATTACTAGTAGTGTGGTTTATTAGCGCCGCATTCTTCAGCATTTATGATAGTAATACGGTTTACTAGCGCTCAGTCTTCGAGTATTAAGTTACTACATTGCAGTAGGACTGGCTATTGGTGTTTCTACTATCAAGCTCCCTTCTCCCGGAGTAAAAAAATAACAATCATAGACAGGGGTTGGTCCAAATAAAGGAAACACCCGACATTTTGATATCATAATTTTTGAACATGTTATAATTTATAAACAATTATAACTTGACATATTTTATGTTTATTGTTGCTGCTAGTTGATATTCTATCCTTGCAGAGACATTTTTAGTAAATTTTTGTGTCCATAACCTAACCTATAACGAATAAATGGCAAACCGCGCTAACTTTCAAAGAAGCCAAATTGTTGGTGCCCGTATGTCAGGTGTGACAGAAACTTCCCAAATGCTTGACTGCGTTTGAAAGGAGGAAAAACGTCCTCAGCTAAGCACAGGTCAGGCCGAAAGTCGAAATTATCTGAGAGAAGCCGTCGCTACGGCTGTTGAAATTACTGCAGACCTCAATGGACACCTACAGTATCCGGTTTCTATAAAGACTGTCCGCCGAGAGCTGCACAGATCTGGATCCTATGGAATAGCTGCAATTAGAAAACCTCTGTTTTCAAATACAAATGTTTCGAATCGTTTAAAGTGTTGTACAATCCTGCAGAATTGGTGCCTAGAGCAAAGGAAAAATGTTATTTTCTCTGACGAAGCATCGTTTACCTTATTTCCAACATCTGGCCGAGTTTACGTTTAAACCCAATTGCCTCCTCCCAACCGTAAAACATGATTTGTGATGATCTTGGGTGCTATTTCTTAGAAATCCGGCGGACCAATGATTTCTCTTAATAGAACAATCAACAGCCGTGACTATTTAGGAATTTTGGAGGACCAAGTTCATCCAATGGTTCAAGCACTGTTTCCGGAGGGCAACGCCATCTTGCAGATGATAATGCCCCGATCCCTACAGCTGGAATTGTTAAAAAATGGCACGAGGAACATTCTAATTAAGTTGAGCATCGCTTTACCCACTACAATCACCAGACCTGAATATTATCGAGCATTTATAGTCGATTTTAAAGATGCAAGTCGGAAGTCGATTCCATCCGTCATCGTCTTTAAATGAGCTTAAGGGAGTTTCAACTGAAGAATGGGTTAAAATCCATTTGGAAACAATTCATAATTTGTATAAATAAATTTCTCTGAGAATTGAGGCTGTAATTGCCGCAAAAGGTGGACCTACATCATACTAAAATATATTTTGCGGATTTCTCTGGTGTTTCCCTTATTTTGTTTAACCCCAGTACATTTCATTTTTTCAAGCAACTCCGTTAATTTTGTTACCTGGCAGAAGTCAGAACATTTCTCAGAGACGGCAAAATATCCCTTGTCGTTGGAGCAGCGGAAAAGTCTGGTGTGTTGCATGTAGTCGGCCTCGGTATCGTAAGGCTTTTTTCCTCCAATTCCCACCCAGAAGAAGTTTTCAGGCTCTTCACCTTCGCGTACAACCTGATGAAAGATAAAATCTTAGTTTTGTTCTTCTTTGTTGAGTGAAGCATGATAGTATCAGGAATTGAAAGTCATCAATAATCCATCAGTTACTACGTTACCAAGTTGAGATTGAAGTCTTTGCTTGAAAATTAGCCGTGTGTATACATTTTTCTAATTATATTAAGCATTCTAATAGTACACAGAAAATCAAAAGTGAAATCAAACATATGAATCGAATAATGAAACAACGAAAAAATTTTCAATGCACAAATACATATGACTTACTTGTAGGCTATACTTCTCGGGATCATACATTTCATCGGCGATTTCTTCAGTGAGACGCGCTTCCTCGGGATCACTCTTCTCCCCGAGCCAGACGTATACGATGCCACTATCTCCTTCTCCTCCAAATGGCACTTTGAGTATGTAACAGAAATAGGAATTCAACAGGGAAGCATCAACTTTGATTTGGATACAGCGGGTGAAGAGCGGTGAACCGTTGGAACGCATGTGGAACAGTTCTGGTTTTGGTTGAGGAGGAGGGGTTGTAGGTTTAGTCTCAGCATCTTCAACGGGTTCAACAGCTTCAGTGTTTTCATCCGCATCGCCTTCAGTTGTCGGCTGGCGTTTTTTAACAGGTTTCAAGGGGGAAGATCGTCTACGATTTCCGGTATGAATTACGAATTTTCGTTTAAAATGCGCCATGAATTTCACAGCTTCCTGTTGCTGCTGCATGCGAACAACTTCTAGTTTATCTCCGAAAAGCATTTCAAATTTCTTTTGCAGGCTAAATGTGAATGTCAGCCAACCCATATTAGAGGCATCTCGTCCTTGCCAAAAATACACAATGCATTGGAAATCGTCCTCTGGTTCTTCTGGCTGTTCCTTTTTACTGCCAGACTCAGAATCAGTATTGTTTTCTTCTGGTTGGTCAGCAGGGACCCAATATCTACACAGGAAGACGTAGCATTCACCAGACCTGAAATGTCCAAGCTCATTTTCAGGCAGTTTGACAAACTTTTTCCCTTCCAAAACAAAAGCATCCATCGAGTCCAAGTCGTCATTCCAGTCTTCCATGCATTGCACAGCCTCTTCGAGAGATATGGGCTGCTGTCGCGGAGTAAAGAGTGCGCTCAAGTCAGTCTTGGTCTCTTGCTTGGAGGCCCAGTCTTTTAGATTGGCACCTGTCTTTCGTACAGAGTCAGCTGTTCGAGTGAAATCTACGTCAATGACATCATTCCATGCAGTAAATTTACTTTTGAAAACCATAGACTCATTTCCTTCTTTGATGAGAGTGGTGGCCGCATGGCTCGGCCGTTGAATCATTTTCAGGAGCTCCTGCGACAGTTTCAATGCCGCCGCCCGAACCAAACGCGTTGACTTGCGTCCAATCCAAACGAAGACATCGCAGTAGCAGTCTAAAATAAAAACGTTTTTGGTGACGAGGAGCTTCTTGACGAGCTTCTTTTCAGGTACTTCCACTTGGGGAAGTTCGAGGTAGCCCATGCCCAGTCCCACCTGATACAAACGAGGCAGTAATGGCTCTGTGTTTTCAATGTGTTCCACAATCTCAAAGCCCTCAGGAGTGGTCTCATCTTCATGGTCAATGCCAAGAATAGCCCAGAAGTCACCCCATTTATTGCTTTCCTTGCCTTGCACTAACATGTGAATCTCAGCCTCGTTTTTGCGTTCATCTTTGTTGATCTTTTCGGCGGCAAGACGCGTTTTAGTCACGAGTGTTTTCTTCACTTTCTCGCCCTGCCACACGTAAAGTTCCTTGCCATCGTCCAAAAGAAATACGTGACGAGGATCCAATGATGAAATGTCAAGTGCCACAGTCTCGAAATGAACGCACTGACTGTTAGGATGAATGCAGTACATTCTCACCGGATAGTCCTGAAATAGATAAAGCAAATTTAAACTTCTTTTCAAACAAATATTGGAAAAATTTAGAAAGAAGTCCTGTCTAAATGAGAAAAATAAGTCAAACAATAAACTAGAATATTCTGGTTCAAACATGAGCAAATTTTTTAGTAAAACGATGAATCTATTTTGAAACTGCAAGACCAAGTTTAATCTTTGCTTCTTTGCTCTAATTCAGTAAGGAGCCAATATTGACATAAAAATACCCCGAGACGTAAAGAAGTTTCTAAGAAACTGTTCACGTTGCCCGAAAACAATTACTATTAAAATATGAGAATGTCAAGCGATACCGGTATTCAATAAATTTTCTGTAACATATTTTAATTTTGATCGTGTTTACAAGAAAATCTAAAATTAAAAATTTTTTTTCTGTCTTTAGTTAGATCCTCCAACTCAGATCCTTCTCTCCCGCCGATATTTAGTAATCACGGCCTCAAGACCAGAAGTTTGGAAATCTATATAGGTATAGCACAAACCACTTCTTCGACAGTGAAGAAGCCTGACGCCGTCCTGCCTCCTTCAATATACGTGATTTGATGCTGGAAAATGTCGAGGAACTCCTTGCTCTCGTCGCCCTGCTCTTCTCTGTGTGTGCGGCCTTCAGCTCCAAGGTAGTTACGCAGGTTGACGGCGTGAATCGCGGCACACGCTTTTTTGTCCAGCTGAAATGTAGAAAACAATTTTTTAATTGATCATATTTCAACAAACCAATACCTACCAAATTAATGAAACTTAATTTGAAAGTACTTTAAATGGACATGCATTCATTCCCTTAACTCAGCCGAGTAATTCCACCTATAAATAGTCTTAAATTAAATATTCAGCATACCCTACTAGGTCCCTTAACATAAAAGACACTGAAAGGAGCCGGTTTGAGTATCTTCTGCGCACATATCCAAATGTTATCCATGCAACACACATTTATAGCCATGCAAATACTTCTAAGACAAACCATTAAAATTGAAGGACATCAAACTCACCGTAGTTTTCTCTCCAATCCAGAAGTAGATCTGCCACACCAGACTGGACGTGTCATCGAGCTCTGTTTTAAGCACAATGTAGCAATCAGCCTCATAGAACTGGCCATGAGTCGCTTCTTCCATTTGGTTGGGAAGGAAATTCTCAATTTCCCACACTGTCAAGCCAGGAATTTGACCAACGTCTTCGTCAAAAAACTCGTGATAGTTCAGAGCAGGTCTCTCCAAAGCCTCGTCCCAGCGTTTCTGCCTGTTAAAAAAAGCAAGTATGTCGTGAGCTTCCAAAGCACATCAATCAATTACAAACTCTACAGTTAAGAAGGCCCACAAAATCATGTAGATTCATATTTCTGAACGGTTAGGTCTCCCAGTTAATATCATTCTATCAGCAGAGAAACATTACAGAGAAAATAACTACACATGATAAATTGTGAAAAAACATGGTCTAATTTCGAAATTTTATTTTTCCTCGCTTAATGAGAAAGTGTAACTATTATATCTCACAAGAACATTGAACACAGAATGCTGATCTTTTACATCAAAATAAAGTATTTAAAATATTCAAGTTTCCCTACCCTACAATCTAGGTACATCTGACTGTAAATCTCTTTACGAGTACCTCACCTCAATACTTGGCTGCTTCTCTCTTCAGTCATTTTCTCCTTTTGCTTTTGTTTTTCTTCATCCTTGGCAATGTCTTTCATTCCCTTAAGAATTTTTTCCTGTTTATCATCCTGTTGGTCTTTCCTGAACTGACGAAGGCGCTTCTTGCGAGCGATCGGGTCTTTGGGCAAGCCTTCAAAATTATGAAAATTTTTAATGAATTTTTTAACCAGCAAGACTCACCTTCTACATCATCTAAACTAGAAAGCTGAAAACCAATAAATGCATTCATAGGATGCATATTTAATACCGGTAAATCATAATTATAATATCTATGATAAGCATTAAAATGCAATACAAATTCAATGTACCTTCAACAACACACTAAGTACACGCACACAAAGGAGTATCTCACCAGAATTTGGTGAATTGGCGGCTAGGGAAGCAGCATTCTGAGCTCCAGCTTTGCTGAGCTGAGCCTGCAGGGAAAAGTCAATGTTGTAGAACTGGGCGCCGGATCCCTTAGCCAGGCCTCGGGGCTTGGGTGGCCACACCATGTCAGGGTTGTTGTCGAGCAAAAGTTCGTCCAGTGACTCCGTGATGAAATGGATAGCTTCAGGCAGCGTCACAAGGCAGTTCGAGTTCAAATGCAGGCGCTTCAAGTTGGGGCACCTAGAAACAAATGAGATAATCAGAAAGTTAGTAGAATTTCTCACATTTTTAGCATTTACGATCAGACGGACACCTAAGAGTAACCAAATAAATATGAAGAAAAAAAAAGTAACGTAAGCTCAACCCAAATAAAATAGTAACCCGAGCTCAAAAAGCTTTTTTGACTTTTAATCCGAGCCTGTTTATACCAGTAAATGGTTTGAAAACGGTATAAAAAATTGAAACTTATGAAGAATGGAATGGGTTTCTATTAATCATAAAAATTACCTATGTCGGGAGAGGGTCATTACTCTTGCAATGAAAATTGCGTGCATAAAAACGAAAATCAATTTAGTTTAAACTAAATATTCAAACAAATATATAATAGATAGACGATGCAAACATTCGGTAGAAAATGCAAGAATTGATTACATGATACAGCTACCTGCAAAGTCCCTCAGGAATCATTTCCAGTTTATTGTGCGCAGCAGAGAACACTTCAAGGCGACCAAGCTTGCCGATCCCGGAAGGTAGTCCTTCAAACGACAGTTGATTTTCATTCAGCATTAGGCGCTTGATCTGCTCAAGTCTGCACAGCTGAGATGGCAGAGCGGACACTTTGTTGCGACATATGTTCAGCACCTCCAGTTTGCTCCAAGTTTCTGCAAACAATACAAAGTTTGAGAAAAAATATTGTAACTATGCAGACATGTGAAGTTTCTTTGGTCAAAAAATATATACCAATCACTGTTTTCCATATCGTAAGAGCACAATAAAGATTTTACAAACATAAACGAAACTTTCTATTATAGTTAGTCCACTCAGTTTATTAACGTTAAAAAGGTCTTTTATATCCATGTAATTTAATCAACAAGAATCTCAGCAAGAATTTTAGCAAGAATTTTAATTCCGGGACTAACCCATCTCAGGAGCGAGTTCCGTGATGTTGTTATCAGAGAGGTTGAGCCTCCTCAAGCCCCTGAGCGTGTAGAGACATTGAGGTACTTTGCTCAGGTTATTGAAGGACAAGTCAACGTCAGCAAGATTTACGAGCGCTTCCAACGTAGCTGGCAGGTTACCAGGACTGCGCTGCGTGTTGGACATGTGCAGGGTTTCCAGGGAGACCAAAGATGGTAGTTGCCTGCATATTAAAAACAATAAAGCACAACGCATGTGCAGTGTTGGACATGTGCATGGTTTGCAGGGAGACGAGGAATGAAAATTGCCTAGAAATTAAAGACAATCAAGCACAGCAACATAATATATCCATTTTCCTTACTGTGAAAATACTTCAAAGAATCAAGTCAGTTTTGTATTAGATCAAAAAATGGGAAGTAAAAACTTCTCAAATGAATAGACAATAACATTTTGGTAGAGTAACATTTACAATAATAAATAAAGAAGCTTCATGAAAAGTGCAAGCATTCAAGTTTTTGCTGGCAGACCTAGACACGCAAAGAAGACACACACATTTCATACTTTCCTGTGTCATTATGACCAATTCAACAACATTCTATTAACAAAGTTTTTCAAAACTTTCAACCTTGAGTTTTCGAATCCCAATTAATGAATTCATCCTTTACAGTCAGTTACCAACCAGATAGGAGAAATATCCAATCACCTAGATTAATTTCACAGTTATGCCCCATCTGTTATTAAAAAAGTTGTCGGAGCATCAACTGCTGTTTCTCGTCCACTATTTAATTTCAAATGTTCTACTTTTAGTTCTCAAGCATGGTAAAGAATGATTTCAAGGTATGCATAAAATGATGGATTGTTAATTAGAGAATGGCAGAGGCACAATGAAAATAATTTATTTTAAGCCTCTCGATGTATAAAGCCCTTTAAGCTAGTTTTGGGTTGAGATTCAAAGACGTCATAGGCCTAAAGTGCTTGTCACAAGCACAGGTTGCATAATTATTGAGTGAGAAGTTTATTTACTATCCTTTGGCAGCAACTAAATAACTAAGAAACTGAATAAATAATGTACTCTGAAAACCTCAAAGCGCATGGATGAGATTACGTTCATCTCCTGAAAATATGCATACCTGAAGTAAAAAACATGAGGTGGATTTAAAATGCATTAAACAGCTTTGAAAAAATTACCTAAACTGGAAGTGAGTGAGACAGTTGTTGTTCAGAATTAATGTCTTCAGATGAACTAATCTTCGAACTTGAGGGGGAAATGTAGCAAGTTTGTTGTCAGCTAGGTTCAGGTACAGCAAATCCGTGCAGTTCACCAAAATTTGAGAAGGAATTTCTTCCAACCTGAGGATATATGCATAATAAGATTCCAAACACATAAAAATTTTGGTTGCAAAATTAAAAAAATATATATATACAACAAAATGCAGTAAAAATCAATTTAAGCATCCACAATGTAAAAATTAACCAGTCTGAAACTTGTAGCTTTTAAAATACGGCATCAGCTGATTGTGAAAATTGTTCGTAAGTCATAATATGCTTAACTGAAGGTAAAAAAATAATGTTCAAGTAAGCACGACCGTAGTTGCCACTCACTGGTTGTCAGACATGTTCAGAACCAAGAGACTTTTAGCATTTTCAAGGCCACAGGGAACTTCACTCAGCCTGTTGCCAGAGAGATCCAGCGTTGTCAAATCGGATAACTGAAAGAAACAGCAACATTAAATTGGAGAAATATGACAACAAATTATATTACCATACTTATCTACTATTAAAAACATTAAGAGAAATTAAAGTCAATCAAAAATTTACTGCAGAAAAGTTTTATGTAATTTTTATCAGAGAGAGCAAATTTATAACTTCCAAACCTGAAAGAGATCCTCATTGATGGTGTCATGCTGGATTTTGTTGTGCCGCACATTCAATGTGCGGAGGCAAGGCAGCTCTGTAACTGTATCATCAATGCCAATCAGGTTGTTGTGCTTCAATGAAAGATGTTCCTGCAAATAAGAAAACATTAAATTCTTGTGTGGGCCAAATGCACAAGTAGTAACCTGACAAAATTGGAAAACCTTGCAAGGTCATCAACCCTGATGGTGCTAAAATGAAATGAAATTTTTTAAATTAAATTAAGTTGCACATTATTATTGAAAAAACCACCAAACTGAAATCCATACCTACATAACATAGAAGAAAATTATTCCAAAAATAAAAATGAACAGAATGGACTAAAATATTTTGTTTGAATGAAGTTAGTATAACTACCTCATCATAAAAATTGATGGTGAGAAATATTTCTCTCACCAATTTACTGAGTGATGAGATGCTGCTTGGAAGCTCCTCAAGGCCTGTAGCATCTGCTCTGAGCCACCGAAGGCTAGACATTTCTCCAATACACTCGGGCATCCCATGTTTCTGTGAAAAAATTATATATTTATTACCGTACTTAAATAGTGAGTCACAAATTAAGGTAAACTTTTATCAATTTAGATTTAGGTATAATGATAAAAAAAAATCCAGGTGTTCAATTTTGCTGAGCAGAGACAAAATGATATTTACTGTAAGTCTGTAATTATTTGCAAATAAATATCAAATCTTAAAAAAAAAGTGGATACAACTCCAAGCTAAGCTCATGTTTTGGTAATTCAAGAAATGTATGATCCCAATGCATATATGAGGACCAAATATTTAAACTTTACCTACCAAAGTTATCCAGCATTTGGATCACTAAACAGAATTTAAAGTTTCTTTGTTGAGAAGCAAGAAAATCAAATACCATGATGAAAATTAAATTTTTTTACCAGATTACATATGAAATTTTTATAAGCCCAATAATGAGCCATTCTTCTCATTTTGTATGAAATAAATTAGCCAAGTGCCATAAGAAGAGTTAAAATTGACTGCGGTCTACAAACCCGGGTGTTTTTGTTTTATTCATAAGAGGCTTCTACCCAATTTTCCACAATGGTGGAAGCAGGCATGGAATATATCTAATTGGCGAGCCATGACTGGATTTTTTGAGCTGTGGCTTCATGGGTTTGCCAGACGTGTTTCCATTTCTTCAAGCCATAACTTCATGGGTTTGCCAGCCAAGATTCCATTTCTTTGAGCCATGATTTCCATATCTCAACCATGAAAAGCCATTTGACTGGCAAACTTGTCATTTACAAAGTCACATGCATACAATGTCATATGTTATTTACAAAGTCCAATACAAAAAACAATCACTAGCATTTGTCTTCACTTGAGTGGCAACTGAACAAGTGATAATGCTGTATGGCCACTCTGACATGACCACAGCTACGTGATCTTCATGGAGGAGGAAACATTTGAGTTGACTTGTTATTATGTTCTGTGTTATTTTCGTGGGAGGCCTGAGCATTGAAGTATATATACTGCGGATTGCTGAAGTTGAAAATTTTATTAAACATGTTTGCAAAATGCAAACAGCAATTTTTTAAATCAAACAAAAATTTATGACATTAGAACCATAAGATTTCATACCTACTGAAATTATATATTAGAGCCCTGATATTTCAGAAAAAAATAGGACTTTTCCAGCCCTGGGTGGAAACCTGCTTAAAGAGGAACGAGGTGCTTACTGCTTCAAAACATTCAGCTCTGCAGATCTCTGCCTCAGTTAATGAGCACTTACTTTTAGCTCTCATGTTTTTAACATTCTATTATGTTGCATTGTCAACATAACCAAACACGTTATGATCATTTTTGACCATATCAATATGTAATCTTCATTTTTATTTCAAGCCATCAATGATTAATCATGCTGTACCAGTATGCCATAAAGAATAGGTACATCATTTGTATGAATATGCTCAAACTGCTAATAAGCAGTTGGTTTAGGCTTTTTGTCTTTGATATTGTATGATTGAAATGTGTAGGTATATTTTTTTCTTAAAAAACCTCAATTCTTAACTTTTTAGATCAGTTCTTAATAAAAAGCATCGCAAATATTAGAACTCTCTGCTGAAATATATAAAGAATGGGAGTTCTGCATTATATAATTGTAAAGCATGTCTGCATTATGATTATAGGAGGCAGCAACTGCTGTGATCACATTGTCTATCAGAGAAACTACAATGGATGCAGGAAACTAACATAATTTTTTAACGTTTCTTTTCTACTAAATTTTAGGCTTTAGGATTTATGCAATGAAAAGAGTAACCTTTTTTAGACTAAATTTAAATTTTATTCATTTAAATATTAAATTGCAAAAACATAGAATTTAATAGAAATTCTACGAGTATTTTCAAGAACTCGTCTGAATTTTGTAATGCCCCTTTGCTGTGTAACTTCCTGAGAACTGTTTCTTATGGTGTGGCTATTCACTTTCACGACCTTAAATTTCCATTTGGCAAGTCAGGAAGGGTAGTTTGCTGGTTTCTGCCTGAAGCCAAATTTATACTCTGACAGTGACAGCTCAGAGCCTCAGAAAGTAGATACTTTCCAAAACAGCTGTTCTTAAGGGGACCTGCTACCCTAAATTGGAGGTAGCCTATAACTCCTACAGTTATTATCCGATCATCATGAAACTTCACATTCATACGTAAAATGTAAAAATAATAACATTTTACTTTTATGAATTTTTCAAAAAAATTGATAGAAAACGTGATATTCATAGAAAACGGACAAATAACGGGTACTATAGAAAATCTATCTCCCCCCACAAATATCGTCCGACAATATCGAGACACATATCATTAGATTTGTAAAGACCATACCTATCAACTCTACCATCACTTTTTTCATTTTCCCCATAGCTTTTTTTTTATGCGCGTTTTTCTCATTTTTCACTTCTTTTACCCCCTCCCCCCCTTCTCCCCCATATATAAGACGAACCATGCACAAATTAAAAAAAAAGCGATGGCTAGGTCGATAGATATGGTCTTTACGAATCGAATGATATAACTCTCATTGCTGTAGCTTGAAAACTGTAGGAGGAGATAGGTTTTCCGTGACAATAAGTTGAACTTTTCAAACTTTTCAGGACGGCTCGACAAAGTCCCATGCGCCTCGAAATAGGCACTCACTGTAGCATGGATACCAAACTACAGGCTTCTGTAGCTTAATCCACTCAAGGATGCTAGCAGCAACTTGTAGCGCACCTCTGCGTACAA